TGATGTGTTAACATGTGTTACGGCTGTCATATAAAGTGTTAACATGCGTTACGGCTCTCATGTAATGTGTTAACATGTGTTACTTCTTTCAAATAATGTGTTAACATGTGTTGCGACTGTCATATGATTTGTTCACATGTGTTTAATCTATCATATGGTGTGTTAACATGTGTTAAGACTGTCATATCATGTGTTAACATGTGTTACGGCTGTCATATAATGTGTTAACATTTGTTACGACTGTCGTATTATGTTTTACATGTGTAAGGACTTTCATATCAAATTTCTTGTTTTTTGTCATGATGGCTTTCTTGCACTTTTGGATGCTTTGTCAATTTTTGTAGTAAGAAAATAATAACTTTGAAGACCCTTTACACTTTTTATGACCCTATTAATTAAAAAATAATCAATTTTTCCCATGACAACTAAAATTGTTTTTAACTTTTTTTTTGCTGTTTAATACTTACTTTCATATGCCAAACATGATAAAAGTATTCAAAAGGCTTTAGATATTAAATTGTAAAAAAATAGGGAAAAAATTGCGCATATCCCCTTAAATACATTTAACACTAATGATGTTTATCTATCGGTTGTATATACACCTGGGTGTAGCATTGTTTTTTTGTTTATAGTTTGCATGTTAACGTCATGGTGTCACATCGCCCCCTCCCTTGTCGGGATCGTAGTTGTGTACTTAAAATACTTTTTAATTCTAATTAACCATTTATTGAACTGGCAAAAAAAACACATATTTATTCTATAAATCTTGAAATGTTGTGTTTTGGTATTAATGGTGTCACTCGGTGAGGTCCGCAACCCCCATCCCCGCCTCGCGACGCCCCTGCGTGTAAGTGTGAGTGAAAATATAGGTTTGAGTTCGTTAGTCTGAGTTTGAGAGTAAACGTAAGCGTAAGTGTAAGTGCTAGTGAACGTTTTTCGTTTAGTGTTTAAGCTAAAGCAATACAAGGTCAAGTTATGCTTTTGGTTTTATGTCAGGTTTTAAAAACTACTCATCGAGGTCAAAACTGCGAAATCTTGGGTCTAAACGTATTTATTTAATCCTAGAAAGTTCACGGCGCTCCGAGATGGCTGTTTTCATGTCATGTCAAGAGTGTGGAGAACTTGGGTCAAATCATATTCATCTAAGCCAAGACAGGTCATCGTGGTCCGAGATTGTTGTTGTTTATTTTGAAAACTACTCATCTGGGTCAAGACTGTGGTTAACTTGGGTCAAATCCTATTCATTTAAGCCAAGACAGGTCACCGTGGTCCGAGATTGTTGTTACTTGTTTTGAAAACTACTCATCTGGGTCAAGACTGTGGTTAACTTGGGTCAAATCCTATTCATTTAAGCCAAGATAGGTCACCGCGTTCCGAGCTTGTTGTTGTCGGTTTCATGTCATGAATTAAAACAACTCACTGGGGTTAAAACAGTGGTAAACTGGGGTCAAATCCTGGCCATTTAAGCTACGATAGGTCAAAGTGGCCGAAGATTGTTACAATTTGTCATCGTGTTCTTACATAATACAATTTCACTTGGAATAAACCGTACCAAAAGAGAACATATGGCTGGTTGTTAAGAATGTATTTTCTCAAAGTTTAATCAAAGTTTGAAGGGTGTGGAAGGGCCAAATTTGAGGTTTTGGAGAGTGTGCAATGGTGATTAGTCAAACTGTGGAAGTACGAGATGAGGGGAGCACTGAGGTGACACTTGTTGAAGGAAAGTGTGGAGAGGTGGTATAGTCAAGTGTGAGCTGGCTAAATAAAAGGTGTGACTGAGTGAGGGAAGAGTGTGGAAGAAAAACTTGGCACGAATTGTATCAAATGATAGTGTTAGCGTAAATGTTTGTTATCGTGTTAGTTTTAGTTTCAGTGCGAGTCTGAGTGCGAGTAAGAGTGCCCGTGTGTTAGTGTTTATGTTAATATTAGTGTCAGTAAATGTCAGTGTTAGTGTTCGTGTAAGCGTTAGTAAGAGCATTATAATGGCATTTATAATGTTAATGAAAATGTGAGTGTGAGTGTGAGCATGTGAGTGTCAGTGTCAGTGTCAAGGTCGGTGTCGATGCCAGTTTTAGTATTAGTGTCAATTTTAATGTTAGTGTGAGTTTTTCAGTGTAAGTGAAAATGGTAGTGTAAGTGAGAGTGTGAAGTGTTATTTTTTAAAATACTATTTTGAGTGTAAGTGGTTGTGTATGAAGGATATGGTGTGGGTAATGAATGAGTTTGAATGTTAGTGTTCGCGTGCGAATGTAAATGCGAATGTGAAAGTGGATGTTAGTGTGAGCATGTTAGTGTTGGTGTGAGTGTGAGTATGGTCGTAAGTTTAAGCGTAAGAGTAGGTGTTAGTGCTAGTGTTAGTTTTAATGTGTTTGAGAGTGAGTGTAATTTTTAAATATGAGTGTAAAGTTTAGTTTGAGTGTGAGTGTGAGTTTGAATGTGAATGCTAGTGTGAGTGTTGGTGTTAGTCATAGCTTTAGTGTTACTGTAAGTTCTAGTGTTAGTGTTTTGTTTTGATGTATTAATCCCTCTAATCCGCTTATTAGCAATTTGCATATGGATGCCAGATTAATTTTAATTTGTTTTTTTTCGTTTTAACCCAACATGAACGGATTAAAAGTTATTTTCCCTTATTTCCAATAGGTTTACGTGCACTTAATGCAAGGTCAAGTAATGTTGTTGGTTTGATGTCAGGTTTTGAAAACTACTCATCGAGTTCAAGACTGCGGAGAACTTGGTTCAAATCTTATTTATTGAATCCGAGAAAGGTCACAGCGGTCCAAGATTGTTGTCGTTGGTTTCACGGTCATTTATTCAAAACTACTCATTTGGGTCAAGACTGTGGTGAACTTGGGTCCAATCCTATTCAGTTAAGCCGAGATAGGTCACCGCGTTCCAAGCTTGTTGTTGTCGGTTTCATGTCATGAATTAAAACAACTCACCGGGGTCAAAACTGTGGTCAAATCCTGGTCATTTAAGCTACGATAGGTCAAAGTGGCCAAAGATTGTTACAATTTGTCATCGTGCTCTTACATAAATCAATTCACTTGGGCAAAGACTATTGTCAAAAAGTTGATTAGGTAAACTAAATCGTACAAAAAGACCACATATGGATGGTTGGTAAGAATGATTTTCTCAAAGTTTTGAAGAGTGACGTGTATGCAAAATGTTAAAGTACAAAGTGAAGTATTAGGGAGCACTGTTATTTGGCATGATTTAAACAATCATGATTTTATATAATTCTATTATTTGATTTAAGTTGTCTAATTTAAAAATAAGTAAATCAAAAATAAATAGTCATTCGATATATCTTTCTTTGAGCTACCTTAAAATATAATTTTAGCAGGTTTTACTTCGCCCAACAATAAAAACATTTTTGGTAACTTATCGATTGAAAAAAAAAATATATTACATTTGCAATTAAAGGGAAATAACTGTTAAAATATTTTATTCACTAGTTTTAAAAGAGTTAAGCCGCTTTCTTCCGAAGATTGACTGGAAAGACAGACAGCTGAATAATTTTAGTTATATTATATATTTATTTATTTATTTATATATATATATAGGTATATACATACATATTTAAAAAAAGCTTATTTAATAAATAAATTAGCTTTTTAAAGATATTTTAAAAATAACCAATCGACAAACTTTCTCCATCTTTGTAAAGTTATGTCCCCTCTTAAACATCTGAATTGTTTTTCTCTTCCAAAAATAAAACTCGTCAGATGATTGAGATGAAATTTTAAAAATGACTTTCTTTTTTAGTTTTTTTTTTGGTCCGCACCCCTCCTCCCCTTACGCCCCTGATTCGATATACCTTTCAAAAACAAATTTAAAAATAGAATCCCTTTGTGCAACTTCTCATTTTAAAAAAAAAATTACATTTGTGATTGAAAGGGAAATAACCGTTAAAATATTTTATTCACTGGCTTTAAAAGAGTTAAGCAGCTTTCTTTTGAAGATTGACTGGAAAGACAGACAGTTGAATAATTTTAGTTAAGGATTATATATATATATATATATATATATATATATATATATATATATATATATATATATATATATATATATTTAGTGATATACATAATGATCAGAAATAAAAGCTTATTTAAATAAATAAATTAGCTTTTTAAAGATATTTAAAAAATAACCAATTGACAAACTTACTCCATATTGTAAATGGTCAAAGGGAAATAACAATTAGAAAAATTTATTCCACAGCTTTTGTAAAGTTATATCCCCTATTAAAAATCTGAATTTATTTTGTCTTCCAAAAATAAAATAGGCCTAATATATTATTCAGATGATTGAGATGAAATTTTAAAAAGACTTTCTTAAAATAAATCAATAGTAATTTTATAAACATTGTAAGTACATTTGTGGTTAAAAATAAAGGTAAATAAATGGATATCGCCTTAAAAATAATTAGTTATAAAGTTTCGTTATGTTAAAATTTACTGTGTTAATTAGCTAATTATGATCGATAACATCACATTCGAGTATTCTAGTGAGTGTGTGTTTTTTTTTTTACAGTTCACTCAAATTAATTGCAGCTTGACTAACTTATTTCTGCCACACTGTAAAGGGGATGAAGAAAAGAACCTACTTAGCATTTAGCTAAACTAGTGACAAAATGAATGTAGTAGAGCTCCTACTCTTATCCTCTCTACCCCCCATTGTTGCAATCTTCAGTGAGCTCAAAAAATATAAAATGTTAACTGACTAAATTCTCAGAATGGCTTCATATTATAGAATGGATTAATAGCATTTTAAATAATTTTAATGGAGAAAATTGCTTTGAGATATGAACAATTTAAAATTTTAGCAATGTAACTGAAGAAATTATATGGAATTAAGGTTGCTTTTTATGGTTTTTCTTCACTTTCATTTGATTTAACAAGGCCGAACCTCTCCTAACATTAAACAAAAATATACAAAATTAGTATACATTTTAACAAAACTTATAAAAGAATAAAAAGCAATAGAATGTTTTTTTCTTTTATTACATTTCAAAACAATTATTAACAATTATAAACTAAAAGAAGGAACAGCAGTGTCTTAAGGCCAATACATTCTGTATTTAAAAGACTGCATGTTAGAGACAATATGACTAAAGTGAAACTAGTGGAAACATTACCTAAGTAAAGAAGCAATTGCTGAACAGTAATTTTTATAAGGTCAGACATACATTCTTAACAAACTCAATAGAGCAGCTGTGCTTAAGCTAGATGCATAAATTACATTTTAAATCAGACTTATATTAAGCTAGTATATAACTAAATGAGCACAAATATTGTGAGTGAATTTTATGACACATTAACAATATTAATCATCAACATTAATGGAATTGGCCGTGTCCTAATGGTTGGCAATTGTCATAAACAATGACTAGGTAGACATCAACACACTAGAAGGGTAATCACAATGTACTCAATGTGGACTGGTTCATCAGTAGATCACACTCTTTTCTAAAATACAAATGACATAAATGTTAAGCATAAAATGTGAAAATTTTAGATATTGTCTTCAACACATTAATGTGCACACTAAAATTATTTTATCCATTGAACAATAGAAATTTAAAATTACTCATCAATAGCAAAAATATCAGACACTACAAATTAAACATTATGTACCTGTACAATGCTTTGAACTCTAGACGGGCAGGTGGTGAAGGTGTTTGGGGTAAATGCCATCAACAGCATTTTTCCAGAGAAATTATTTCTCCTTTTAACTGTAATAAATTTGCAAACAAATTACTCTGGAAAAATGCATTAAAGGATTTTCTGACAGTGATGAAAAACTCTTTACCATTAGAAACTGATTTTTTCTCTTCGAGTCTTCAAAAGGCTTTTAAAATGTAAATATGTAGAAACAACAAATACATTAGATTGTAAAGAAAAAATAAAGGAAACCTACTTGAATACAGTATAATGTTCCTATAACAAAGTGGTCAGGACAAAGAAGAGTTCCTGCACAGCAACTCCTTATTGGTTCAGCTTTACGGGATTGCATGGTCAGGTATGGTCTCAAGTACGGTTTCCTGGCTCATAACTGTAGTCCAACCCCTGCGATAAAAAAAAAGTCACAGAGAATAAGATTGCAAGAAATTGTGCTGGCCACACAATCTTTTCATATGCCAAGGTTATAGAAACAGATGAACTCTACTTCAACATGGACTCTACTTCCTTGCACTATTGAGTTCTTGAGGTAACAATATATAAATTTACTGAAAATAAAAACAATAAAATTGTCTAGAACATATAAATAAAATTTAAGAATTGACAATAAAAGACCATAAAATGTCTTAAATTGACCTAAGCCAAAACTAAAGCTAGAAAATAAGCAGCCTTAAGCTTTGCAAGGCTTTAAACAATAGCCTACATATTATTTTGGGTCAATATATTCTGTCCCTTTCAGCATTGAGAGGGAAGAGAAATGCTCTCTGCACCAAATTTAATAATAGGGTAGATGGAGAAAAAAAATGTCTAAATGTTATTTAGTGAATTCTTTTATATGAGTAAGCATTCTAGTAGAAAGCCTATTATGCAGTTCTTTTTGTTATGTTTAATCATTTAGGGGAGTTGTTCATTCATTTTGGTTAATTTTTTTAAGAAAAGTGTTTTTATAGTTTCAGAAATGAAATAAAAATAAATGTAAGAGAAATTTTCACATTAAAAGCTCTATCAAATGGAACTATGTGACCCTGTAGACCAGGTGTCTTTTTATAAGTAAATTGTCAGCTATTTTAGGCATTGTTCTTAGTTGTATGGCCATGCTATTTTATGCTTTTTAACCTCAATGGGGTCGATAGGGAATTTATATTATTAAATCCATGGAGCAGCCCCCAGACCCATATAAATAACTTCTACAAAACCAGAGTTTGTGATGGAATTTAATTTGCAGCAGAAGATTTTAAAAAATAATTTATTACTTTGAAACAGCTGTGATACTATAATCAAGAAAGCCTCCACACTAAATATTAATAAGTCTCTGAGCAAAGTCGCCTCCTGATATTTCATCATTTTTCGCTGTAAATATTCTTATTTGACAAGTGGAGAGATTTTTTGTTCAAACAAAAATTTTTAAACTATCAACTTTTATTACTAATGCATACATTTTTAAAAGCCATAAAACTAATATTAGATTTAAACAATATTTCAGTGTTTGTACAAGTACTTTATTATGCCTTATTATGAAATAAATTGCTTGTGAGGATAAACTTTGAAAATTAAGACTAGAAAAAGGAAAAGCTCATGGTATTTAACTCAATGGGCCACAGTGTATTGGAGGAAACCAATTTAAATATTACATTTAAGAATGAAGAAAGAAAGCAGTGTTTGACTGGCCACAATATGATGAATGTGCGATGAATTCAAAACAAAACTTTCTAAATTGAGCAAATATTTTAAAAAGATAACTGAAGAATTAGTTAGGGAGGTGGACTGAAATTCCATCAAACAGAACAAATTGTTGCCCGTTACAGTTTTATGAAAGAATTGTGCATTTCGTGGTTCTTGAAATGTAATTTACACAAGAAGTTAAAAGAATTAGATTCAAATTTGAGACCACTTAATGGCTAGAAAAATAAATTTTAATTACTATCTGTCATGTGAATATATGTAGTCTATGGTTGTCATACTAGACTGACCACTGCAAGTTAATGTTTTCTCTAGGGTTCACCAATCAGCCTGTACAAACAAAAATTTTTAAACTATCAACTTTTATTACTAATGCATACATTTTTAAAAGCCATAAAACTAATATTAGATTTAAACAATATTTCAGTGTTTGTACAAGTACTTTATTATGCCTTATTATGAAATAAATTGCTTGTGAGGATAAACTTTGAAAATTAAGACTAGAAAAAGGAAAAGCTCATGGTATTTAACTCAATGGGCCACAGTGTATTGGAGGAAACCAATTTAAATATTACATTTAAGAATGAAGAAAGAAAGCAGTGTTTGACTGGCCACAATATGATGAATGTGCGATGAATTCAAAACAAAACTTTCTAAATTGAGCAAATATTTTAAAAAGATAACTGAAGAATTAGTTAGGGAGGTGGACTGAAATTCCATCAAACAGAACAAATTGTTGCCCGTTACAGTTTTATGAAAGAATTGTGCATTTCGTGGTTCTTGAAATGTAATTTACACAAGAAGTTAAAAGAATTAGATTCAAATTTGAGACCACTTAATGGCTAGAAAAATAAATTTTAATTACTATCTGTCATGTGAATATATGCAGCATTAGTTACATTTTCTTAACCCTTTATATAGACTAGCCTGATCATTGTATATCAGAATGTAGTCTATGGTTGTCATACTAGACTGACCACTGCAAGTTAATGTTTTCTCTAGGGTTCACCAATCAGCCTGTACACTAGAAACAGAAAGGCAGCATTTGATTAATTCATTGTAAAATTAAAAACCTAAAACTGTTATCTGCTATATCATACTCATAAGACATAATAAAACTTTCTTAATCATTTAATAAATGTTTTAGACTAGCCTGACCATTGCAAGTCAGAGTGTAGTCTTCAACTTAGTTTTCAGCTAATCCCTCTCAAACACACCTGTTACCTGTAGATACATACCTCAATAAAACACTTAAATTAATACAACTTTCTTAACCATTGATGAACATGTTTAAGACTAGCCTAACCATTGCAAGTCAGAGTGTAGTCTTCAACTAATCCCTCTCAAACACACCTGTTACCTGTACATACATTCCTCAATAAAACACTTAAATTAATACAAATTTCTTAACCATTTATGAACATGTTTAAGACTAGCCTGACCATTGCAAGTCAGAGTGTAGTCTTCCACTACAGAGATGGATCATTTGATTGCAGAAACTAATCCCTCTCAGACACACTCTACAGGTATAATACTTTACAGACTTTCTTAATAATTAGTAATGTATTTCATACTAGCCTAGCTAGTAGACTGTAGTAGTTGCCTAAACTGGGTACAGAATGTGACAGTGACCCTACTGGTGAGAAAGGTTTTGACAATATCTTTTCTATTTACTTGCACATTCAAAATAGGATTAAGGAAAATATAACGCATTCAAAAATGCAGTGAATGAAAGATATATAATTAATACTATTGTCTGCTAGATTCATGAGGAAACAGATGTTATTTTTAAATGGCAACTGAAACTTATATTCAATATTCTTCACCATGGGCTGTGGTCCACCAACTAATAGTTTTAAAGATGGAATTTCTAGAAAAGGAATTATATTAAACACCATGTAGGCCTATGAAGCTCTGAAGTTGATTGAGATCTCAAAGGCATCAAATAGGAGGAAGAGAATAAAAAATTGACATGAAAAGGATTTGCAGCTTACTGATTCACAAGCTGGAGAACCTTTTAATTGTGGATTGAGAGTGAATGTACTGAGCCAATCATATCCTCTTCATAGGAGGCCAATATGCAAATACATATTGTGAAAGGCAAAACATTAAAGACAACTGGGTATTTAAGTACTAAAAGACACCACAAAAAGCTTTAAAAGAAAGTATTTGACTAGTAAGAAAATGGTTTGATTTACACCAAATGACAATAATTTATGCATAACTGATAGAAAGTCAACTAATTATAGCTGGATTAATGGCAATGCACACTAATTGCCAAAAAAAAAATAAGTTGAAATCATGAAAGACAAAATATATTTTTTCCAATGGATTTTGTCAAATGTGAAACTGGTGAAATCTTTTATTACCTGCCTTCAAACATAAAATCTAAATATTTTTTATGTGTAGTGAATTTAGTCAGTGCAAACCTGTTTTTAATGTCTATATTATTTTTGGCTTTTAAAAATATATTTACTTATCACCATTATTTTGCCCTTGCCTATTACCTTTTTGCCAATTTTAGAAATGAAAACCTTAGATAGGCCTACATTTCAGAACCATTTTCAAAAAATTAAGGTTAAAAAATCCAAACGAGAAATTCAAATTGGTCAATGTGTATATTTTTGTCCATGTTTTATTAAAGTCTGTTAAAATTCTCACATGATTTAATTAATTAATGGAAGAAAACCATGGGCCTAGCAGCTGTGTACATGGATCTAAGAAATACTACATTTTTTTATATGTTGTTACATAATAATAAATTACATAGGACTGGAGGAAATCCCATCCAACAATACAATGTCATGTTTCAATGGGAAGATTTAACTTGGAATATATCAACAAAGGCAGTGCAATTTTAATTTTAAAATAATAAACTATAGGCTGTTTTATATCATCTGTGTCGGCAAATAAGGAAATGTAGGCACCAAAGATGACATGCCAAATGAGATCTCTATGCACAATGAGTTAAAACATATTGGCAACATCCGAGCAATTTCATTTTTAATATAATGGACTATAAGGTGATGTTCTTTTTAAACAGTGTATGAGAGAGACATAGTATCAAATGAAGTCCACTTAGTCACCAACCATTTTTAACCAGTTCTGCATACAACTTAGGGAGGAAGTATGCACAACCAGTTAAAACATATTGGCAACAGCCCATGAAGTTTAATTTTTAATACAATGGACTATAATTAGATGTTCTTTTTAAACAGTGTATGAGAGAGACATAATATCAAATGAAGTCCACTTAGTCACCAACCATTTTTAACCAGTTCTGCATACAACTTAGGGAGGAAGTATGCACAACGAGTTAAAACATATTTGCAAAAGCCGGGCAATTTCATTTTCAATACCATGGACTGATGTTCTTTTTAAACAGTGTATGAGAGAGACATAATATCAAATGAAGTCCACTTAGTCACCAACCATTTTTAACCAGTTCTGCATACAACTTAGGGAGGAAGTATGCACAATAAGTTAAAACATATTGGCAACATCCGAGCAATTTCATTTTTAATATAATGGACTATAAGGTGATGTGATTTTTAAACAGTGTATGAGAGAGACATAGTATCAAATGAAGTCCACTTAGTCACCAACCATTTTTAACCAGTTCTGCATACAACTTAGGGAGGAAGTATGCACAATAAGTTAAAACATATTGGCAACAGCCGAGCAATTTCATTTTCAAAATAATGGACTATAAGGTGATGTTCTTTTTAAACAGTGTATGAGAGAGACATAATATCAAATGAAGTCCACTTAGTCACCAACCATTTTTAACCAGTTCTGCATACAACTTAGGGAGGAAGTATGCACAATGAGTTAAAACATATTGGCAACATCCGAGCAATTTCATTGTCAATATAATAGACTATAAGCTGATGTTCTTTTTAAACAGTGTATGAGAGAGACATAGTATCAAATGAAGTCCACTTAGTCACCAACCATTTTTAACCAGTTCTGCATACAACTTAGGGAGGAAGTATACACAAGGAGTTAAAAATATTGACACGGCAGAGCAATTTCAATATAAGAGCCTATAGACTGTTGATAAAGAAGACATTGTTAAATAAAGTCCATTTGGACAACAGTAATTTTTAACCAGTTACATGTGCAACATAGGAGGAAATTTAGGAAGCATGCACAATAAGTTAAAATCATATTGGCAATGCACAACAAATAAAATATAATAGCCTACAGATTCTCTAAAAGGAAGGCTATAATAAAGAGAAATTTTCAGAAGTCCATTGGACAGAAATAATTATTAACAAGTTCTGCATACAACTTAGGGAGGAAGTATGCACAACATGTTAAATAACTTAAGGCACAGCTACTTTAATATACTAGAGATCTAATGGCCTATAGTGTAGGCTTATAGGATGTTTTTTTTTTCAACATTTGTCAATGGAGGCGTATGCTATTATTAAAGAAGTTCAAAATGAGATATGTTAAGACATAGTCTTTTCCTGACTAGACTACTTACCGAATTTTGGCATTGCAATTTCGTCAAGCTTATGATATGAAGTTCTGGGTCAGCTATTATGTGTGTAGGTTGGATTGTATCTAGATCTAGACCATGTAGTTTCATTATGACTTCAAGTTTGCGCCAACTATGACAGAAGGAACACTGGGATACTCTAACCGTTTGACCAATACATCTAGGCTTTAGCTGTCAAAAAATGAACACATTCACACAGCCGGCACCTACCCTGCTGAGTTATCTGTTTGTTTACATCACGTGACAGACTAAAACACATTAGCTTAGGCTAATGTTGATGTGTGAATGATTAAATACTCAGTGTTGGCGCCCGATTTTTAGATATCTTTAACAGCTGCTTAGCTTCAGTGGTATCAATATCAAGATGAAGGTAAACTTATACAACGTATATTAGGCTAGTTACTTAATATTAACTAAGTTAGTTAAGGTAAACTTTGTAAAAATATTATAGTGTCATATGACATATAAGAGGCCTTGGCCTGTCATATAAGCGTACTAGATCTGTGTAAATTTAAAAATAAACGGTCTATCTATAGACATTTAGTATTATTAGGCATAACATTGTATTAACTTTTAACATTTAGGCTCGTCTTATTGTACAAGAAGAGACCTCCCTGGTCCTTATACCTTCTTTAAGCCTACAATATTACAGTAGGGCCTAATCTATCCTAATCCTATAGGCATAGGCCTACATAATACTACATATTTAGGCCTATATTTATATCTCAATTTAATTACTGAAAATAAAATAGACCGATTTTATAATTTATACAATGTTTATTTTAAAACGTTATAGGTTTTACTTAAATAGACCTACAGATGCCGCTTAGTTTAATAAAATGCAGTAGGCCTAATTTAAGTAGGTTTAATGTTACACTCTACACTTTGTTAAAATTGTTATCTTGTAGGCTAACAAGTTGCTTTCTTTTCTTCGTTGGTTTTTTTTAGTCGCATTCCTGCATATGTTTCAGGCAAGATGTTACAGTTCATCGTTAGATAAGGATGTTTGTGAAAAGGAATGTGTATTTGTAGGGCAAGCATTTTGTGCATCTACTGACTTTGTGACCCACTTATGTGAAAAACTCTAGGGCTTCGACAACTCTTTTGTGATAACATTTTGTGGTTGACACATTGTTCAGTGGAGAAACTTTAAGCTTGGCACTAACTTGGTCACTTACTTAAGTGGAAAAGCTTAAAGACATGGACAACCTATCCGCAATTCTACTGAGTTGGTGGCTGACAGTTAGTGTAAACTTGGGTAGCATTTTATGGGCATAGATTAAGTTTGTGGTGGGGGGGTGGCACTTCTGGCAAACATCAGCAGCAAAGTCCAACAGCAGTTTCTTTTCCACACCTTTTGAGATGCCCATGATTTTTAGGTAGGCCTATGCAAACATTTAAATACATTTTTTTTCAAGCATTAATTTTTCAGTTGCTGTCTATATTTTAAAATTATTTGTAAAAGTTTAGTCTTAAAGCTAAAGTTATATTCTGATGTGTTTCATTTATTTAATTTTTAAAAAGTATGTTTATAATTAACAACATGTATCCTTTTGTCTTGCACATCAACCAGAAGTAATTCATTAAGCCAACAAGCACACGAGTCCAACAGTCTTCAACGAAGTTCAACAGTACATTTATGTTCAAACCTCGAGAAACCCATATTTCAGTAGGCCTTTTTTTTCAAAATCAATTTTATTAGAACAGTCTTAAATTTTTCTTTGTTATGACATTTCTACAGATTGTTGTTAATTTTTTTTTTACATTTCAATCCTCAGCAATGAGCGGTAACAAGTTCACGATAAAGACATTGTCAAACATCAGCCAGATCCTTCTGGTTAGGTTTTAGTTACCTTATGTATTTTTCTAATCATGTATGAGTTTTTTCCCCTGCAGACATAAAATTACATCCTAGCAGGTCACTGAAGTCCATCAGTAGATTGATTTATTTCCAAATTCCACGATGTGTATTAATTTTTAGGTATGTTAAAAGGTTTTTATTTTCTAAAATATGAGGTCAATTTTAAACTGTATCTATTTTTTTTTAACAAAAAATGCACCAGATTTCACATTAGTAAAGGACAATTAAAAATAAAATACCAACTGGATGTTGAGAATTGATGTAAAAAAGATTGTAAAACAAATTATTACTTTAAATTACAGTCTACAAAAAACACATGTGTGAAATCTTCAAGAAAAGACATTTTCAACCCTCTTCTGGATGTTCAAGTTTTAAAAACTGTGTCCATAAACAGAATGTCAGCAATCATCCAGACGATTATGAAATAACATTCTTAACCCTCCTCAACCCAAGGGGCTCTTTAATCAAGGTATGTTTTATTACTTTTTTTTGAGAACTAGCTCTGAGTTTTAGTTTTAAACTAGCTACCTTTAAAAATATATTGAACATCTGTTATTTTAAATTACAGTCTATAAAACATGTGTGAAATCTTCAAGAAAAGACAATTTCAAGATGAAGCCAGGATTTCAACCCTCTTCTGGATGTTCAAGTTTTAAAAATTGTGAAATGTCATAACATTCTTAACCTTCCTCAAGAGGCTCTTTAATCAAGGTAAGTTTAATACTTTTTTTGTTTGAGAATTAGCTTTGAACTTTAGTTTTAAACTAGCTGGCTTGAAAAAAGATAATATTGAACATCTGTTACTTAAAATTACAGTCAACAACAGCACCTGTGTGAAATCTTCAAGAAAAGACATTTTCAAGCAGAAGCCAGGATCTCAACAAACTTCTGGATGTTCAAGATTAATATTTGGAAAATGTAATAGTATTTATTTATTTATTTTTGTAAAGGGAGGGAATTCAAGTAAAATTTAGTTATGTTTTAAAGGGGGAGGATCTGGTGGGTGATATACAATTAACTTATTACACCTTTTGTTTTTCTTTTGTTTCACTGTCATTGTTCTTTCTATTAGATGGATGGTGGGGATGCAGGGTGTGGTTTTTGTGGGTCAGGGGAGGGTTATCCTGACGGAAGGTGGGTGTGGAAGAGGGGGCAGCTGGTAATGGTGGCACACCAGGGAGATGAACAGTTGGAGAGGTCTGCTCAATAGAGCAGGCCGCCTGCCAACCTCCGCTGCGAGTGTGTTGACATCTGTGGCCTGCTCGGCTGGCCCATTGTTGATTACCAGATAATGCCTGAACCCTAGCCTTGTCAGTCTGGATAATGTGTCATACGTTTGTGAATATTGCAGTTTCCTTGTCTATGTAAGCAGAGTGCCTGATTGTAAACAGGTCGTTTCATTAGTAATGTGCAAGCTGTTTCACTTTTTTTTTCCTGTTACAATGCACAAATAGAAACATAGGCTCTTTTAGGAAAGGGAAAGGAACCAGGGGCTTGTTGTGGTGTTAATGTTGCTAACATCATCAAAGTATCAAACTAAATGTAAAACTTTTAACAAGTAATATTCTTGACTTGCAGACATGATGTAATATTTAAATCCGGTAAGAACTGGACATAAACTAAAGAAAAAAACCTTTGTCCTTTAAGGCCTTTTTCAATATAAAGAGTAGTTTATTCTCTTTGGCAATGTGGTAGCAATTGTTCCATTTACACTGTATTTGTTAGTAAAAGAATAGTGACCAGTGGCTCTCTAGCTTGTTTTAATAGAAAGAAAAATAGTCAACCTGTAAAATTTATAAGAAATCATAATTTTTAAGAAAAGAAATATATAAATATAATAGTAATGGTACTAAATAGTATAGACTGTCCACAACCTGACTTTTGATATTTCTGGCATTAGGGGAGGAATGCTAGAAACGTCTAAAGTTAAGTTTAATCAGCTGTTTTCATGGCCTTTAGTTGTGAAGGCATTTAGGGATGCTGAAGACAACTACATTTTTCAGGCCGCACTGACACTAAACAGTCTATATTATCAAACCCATTTAAAAAATGAAAAATCCTTAAAATGTTATTATTTATTATCGAGTTGTCCATAACCTGACTTAAGATATGACTGCATTAGGGCATGAATGTTGGATAAATCTTAAGTTTAACCTCTCTCACATTTTTTCATGGCCTCTAGTTGTGAAGGCATTTAGGGATGCTGAAGACAACTACATATTTGAGGCCGTACTGACACTGACCACTCTATATTATCATACCAATTTTTAGAAAAAAGAAAATTCCTTAAAATATAAAAAAAACCTCTACAATTATTTATAACTGAGTTATTACCTGATTCAAGGTGTATCTACATTAGGGCATGAATGTTAGATACATCTAAAATTAAGTTTAATCTCTGTCAGCCGTTTTCATTATTCAGGCCACACTTGCACGGAATTTAGAAAAAAGAAAATTCCTTAAAATATAAAAAAAAAACCTCTACAATTATTTATAACTGAGTTATTACCTGATTCAAGGTGTATCTACATTAGGGCATGAATGTTAGATACATCTTAAATTAAGTTTAATCTCTGTCAGCCGTTTTCATTATTCAGGCCACACTTGCACAGAATTTAGAAAAAAGAAAATTCCTTAAAATATAAAAAAAAACCTCTACAATTATTTATAACTGAGTTATTACCTGATTCAAGGTGTATCTACATTAGGGCATGAATGTTAGATACATCTAAAATTAACTTTAATCTCTGTCAGCCGTTTTCATTATTCAGGCCACACTTGAACAGAATTTCTATATTTAAAAAAAAAGGAAATTCCTAAAGATGTACAGTAAGACTTATAATTATCAATAGGTTATAGTGAATGTATTTTCTACCATTTCTCAGAAATGACAATCTGAGACAGCCCCATATGATTTAGGAAAATATACATTTATTTTTTTTCCAAGTCAAGAATTGTTTCTAACAAGCTGTGCTAAAAAAATAGTGTTTTATAATTTCCTATTTCCTTGTTAAGATATTTTAGTGTTCTTAATTTGTCAAGCAGCTATAACTAAAAAGTTTATGGGGCACCTTTAGTAGAAGCAAATGCTGATTAGTCTCTGAACTAATGAAGCGACCTTTCATAATTATGCACTTTCATCAAAGATTTAGGAAAGATATGGCAATATTCACAACTTTATGTGATGCATTATCGACACTGACCTGTGCTAGGAATTAGGGCTAACGTCTGGTATGATACAATGGGTACAGCCGACAGGTCCACAGCTCTGTCAACACCAAGTCAGCGGAGGGGCAGGTTCCAACACATCTACTGGTAAAGCCTATACCATATAGAAACCAGCATGCCCATGTCGGGATAGGTGGGGGTGTTAAGGGTGGGATTGGGGAGGTGAGAGAGTTGTGTATATATGTAGTCCTCTCTTTATGTTATGTGTAATAAGTTAATTCTTTTTACTGGTCGTAAATAATTAGGTAGTTTTACTTGAAATCCTTCCCTATTTTTTATGCTATATTTTGTTAGAGGAGTCATTTTGCAAATCTGTCTATGCAACTTTAGGGAAAGGAATGTTTCATATAAAAAACACAATTTTTTAAATATTATCTCTAAAAGCAGTTCATGTATTTCATATAATTTGTTTTCTACTGTAAGAGAGAAAGTGTAAGTTGAATTTATCATCTAAAGATTGATATGAGTGTAGTTTTATTTGAACTCACTGTAATGTGTTAGGAGTGCCAGGGATGCAATGTTTATTTGAATTATTGTAATGTTAGAGAATGGCAGGAATGAAAGTTACATCTATGCTATTGTAATACTAGGAGTGTCAGGATTTCATTTTCAATTCAAATTATTGTAATGTAAGAGAATGACATGAATGAAAGTTTAATTTATTGTAAACTTTATAGTTTCATTGTCATTTCATTTTTCTCTTTATCAAATTATATATATATATATATATATATATATATATATATATATATATATATATATATATATATATATATATATATATATATATAAATTTATTACACTAAATTTATGTCAAACCATAGTGAAATGACAATGATGATATTTAATAGTTTTTTATACTAGATAATATTTTCATATGGATTGAATTGTTTTAAATATGAAGCATTCCTTACAGGCCAATGATGCAACACGTCAACATTACTTTTAATGATAAGCAACATGATAAGCAAAGAATATTCTTACATCATTAATGACAACAACTGAGGCCAGTTAGTTAAAAATGTATTTATAATTGAAGATAGTCCTATATCATCTCAGACTTGACTGCCAGTCTTTATTTTGTATTTATAGCATGCTTCTTAAAACATTAAACATTGCTGAAAGTGCTCATTGTTTGCGTTCTTATATGTGTATGTGTGCCTAGCATAGGTTCAAAGGCATGGCATGTAAAGTTGCGGTTTTACAGCCTTTCTTACAGTGTCACAACATCATTGTTATCTGGCAATCATAAATTGTACTGGTAATTTGTTACCATGTATCAACTCTAAGATACATTATAAATGTTAGGTTCTCCACCAACTCTGGCCCTGATTAGAACCACTTCTACTTATATGGGCATGATATCACAGTAAATTATGCAAGCCATTTAATGACTTTGAATCATTACAGTGGCAATACTAATTTCAGAGAAAATTATATAGATTATAGTCATTGCTGATAAGGGAAATAACTCAGTTAATAGTTTTAGAATATAAAAGACGTTGTTGTATTTCGTTTTAGAGGAGTCATACACTCACACACTTACACACTTACAAACAACAATTACACATTAAGGCACTTAAACTCTTAAACTAACACCATTACAAATTTACTCAATTACACACTTACTTACACAATACCTACTTGCACACTTTCACACCTACAAACTTACATACAACATACTGAGACACACACACTTACACACGAATACATTAACACTAGTACACACTGACACACTCACCCTTTTCGTACTCGTGCTCAAACGTATACACTATTACACATTTACACACTCATGAAATTACATACTTTCACACTCACACACTCACATATTGACACAGTCACAAACTTACACACTTATACACTTACACACTTACGTACACACCTACACACTTATTTTATCATACATTTTTACACTTACACATTTACACCTTTACACACTTACAGAACATATTCACATTTACACACATACTAACTAAAATACTTACACACTTACACATTTACACACTTATACAATTGCACATTTATACACTTAGACGTTTACACACTTACTTTCTTATACACGTTAATACTTTTACACACTTACACACCATACTTACACATTTACACACTTACTAAAACACTTACACACTTATACACTTACACATTCACACAGTTATACACTTGCACACTTAAACTTTTACACATTTACACACTCATTGATTTTAAATGTGGATTTGAATATGACTGTGTATGATTGTTAAATTTTAATATTTAAACTTACATGTCTTATTTTGCTGCCGAAAAAAACAATAAAATTTATCTCGATATAAAAATAACTTGTTATAAAATTATTTACCTTTTTATTAGAATAGATTTTTAGCTACAACTCATATCAACTGCACATAAAGGCGAAATGTTGATGTCCCAGATAATAACTTATGATAGTCAATTTTGATGTAATTGTGTAAAGCGAATTAGCTGAGGCTACTAGATGTTGGCTTGTTAGGTCTGGTATTTCTTACTGGTGTTGGTTCGAATCCTAAGTGGGAAGCGGGTCATATGATAATATGTTAAGGATATCTAATTAATGATACCAGTTAAGTGGTGATGATGGTGATGGGAATTAAATTTAATAACTAGCACAGTTCAATGCAGTGGTAGGGAGTTGCATTAGTGCAGTGGTGGGGATTGCAACAGTGCAGTGGTTGGGTGAAGGGGGGAGGTCTTAGTAGTGCAGTGGTGGTGGTGGGTGGGTGGGTTGCAGCAGTGCAGTGGTGGTTGGAGGAGTTGCAGCAGTGCAGTTATGCGGGGAGGGGGGGGGGGTCGCAGCAAGTGAAGTGGTGGTGGAAAGTGTTGTTCCAGCAGCAGTGTAGCTGGGTGGGGGGGGGGGGGTTGTTGCAAAAGTGCATTGGTGAGGTGGAGGTTGCACCAATGTAGTGGGCTTGCAGAAGTTTAGTTTAGGAGGAATGAAGCAAATCAGTTTAGGGTTGGGAGTTGCAGCATTTAGGTAGAATGACGTAAGAAAATGAATTTAATAATAATTATATGCATATTTTTGCATAAAAATTTTAAAAATAATATGTGCTACGACTTTCACATGATGTGTTAACATGTGTTACGGCGGTCAAAAAATGTGTTAACATGTGTTACGGCTGTCATATCAAGTGCTAACATGTGTTAAGGCTTTAATATAATGTGTTAACATGTGTTACGACTTTCATAAAATGTGTCAACATGTGTAACGGCTGTCATATCATGTGTTAACATTTGTTACGACTGTCATATCATGTGTTAAAATTTGTTACGACTGTCATAATATGTGTTAACATGTGTAACGACTTTCATATCATGTGTTAACATGTGTTACGGCTGTTAAATAATGTCTAAACATGTATTACGAGTGTCATATCATGTGTTTACATGTGTTATGGCTTTCATATCATGTGTTAACATGTCTTAAGGCTGTCATAGCATGTGTTAACATCTGTTACGGCTGTCATATGATGTGTTAAATTGTGTTACGACTTTCATAAAATGTGTTAACATGTGTGACGGTTGTCATGTCATGTGTTAACGTGTGTGACGACTATCATATCATGTGTTAACATGTGTTACGTCTGTCATACAATGTGTTAACCTGTGTTACGGCTGTCTTATAATGTGTTAACATGTGTTACATCTGTAATATAATGAATTAACATGTGTTACGACTGTCATATGATTTGTTCACATGTGTTACATCTGTCGAATGATGTGTTAACATGTGTTACGACTGTCATATCATGTGTTAACATTTGTTACGATTGTCATAATATGTGTTAACATGTGCTAGGACTTTCATATCATGTGTTAACATGTGTTACGACTGTCATATGATGTATTAACATGTGCTACAACTTTCATATCATGTGTTAACATGTGTTACTGCTGTCATATGATAAGTTAACATGTGCTAGAACTTTCATATCATGTGTTAACATGTGTTACGGCTGTTAAATAATGTCTAAACATGTATTACGGATGTAATATCAAGTGTTAACATGTGTTACAACTGTCATATCAAGTGTTAACATGTATTACGACTTTCATATCATGTGTTAACATATGTTACTAGTGCCATATAATGTGTTAACATCTGTTACGTCTGTCATGTCATGTGTTATTATGTGTTACGGTTTTCATATGATGTTCTAACATGTGTTATGACTGTATTACAATGTGTTAACATGTGTTACGACTTTCATATCATAGGTTTACGTGTGTTACGGCTGTCATTGATTGTGTTAACAAGTGTTACGACTGTCATATCATGAGTTAACATGTGTTAACATGTGTTACGGCTGTCATATGATGTGTTAACATGTGCTAGAACTTTCATACCATGTGTTAACTTATGTTACGGCTGTTAAATAATGTCTAAACATGTATTACGGGTGTCATATCAAGTGTTGACATGTGTTATGACTTTCATATCATGTGTTAACATGTGTTACTACAGCCAGTTAATGTTATAACATCTTTTACGGCTGTCATATCATGTGTTATTATGTGTTACGGCTTTCAAATGATGTGCTAACATGTTTTATGACTGTCTTACAATGTGTTAACAAGTGTTACGACTGTCATGTGATGTTTTAACATGTGCTACAACTTTTATATCATGAGTTAACATGTGTTTCGGCTGTCATATGATGTGTTAACATGTGCTAGAACTTTCATATCATGTGTTAACATGTGTTAAGTCTGTCATAATATTTGTTAACATGTGTTAAGTCTCTTATATAATGTGTTAACATGTGTTACGACCGTCATATCATGTGTTAACATGTGTTGAGACTGTCATATGATGTGTTAACATGTGTTACGACTGTCATATAATGTGTTAACATGTGTTACGACTTTCATATCATGTGTTAACATGTGTTACGGCTGTCATATCATGTGATCACATGTGTTGCGGCTGTCGTATCATGTGTTAACATGTGTTACGGCTGTCATATCATGTGTTAACATGTGTTATAACTGTCATAATATGTGTTAACATGTGATAAGACTTTCATATCATGTGTTAACATGTGTTACGACCTTCATATCATGTGTTAGCATGTGTTAAGTCTCTCATATAATGTGTTAACATGTGTTAAGACTGTCATATCATGTGTTAACATTTGTTACGACTGTCATAATATGTGTTAACATGTGTTACGGCTGTCATATCGTGTGTTAACTTGTATTAAGACTATTATATGATGTACTAACATGTGATAATAATGTCATGTCATGTGTTAACATGTGTTACGACTATCATATCATGTGTTAACATATGTTACGTCTGTCACACAATGTGTTAACCTGTGTTTCGACTTTCATATCATGTGTTAACATGTGTTATGGCTGTCATATCATGTGTTAACATGTGTAACGACTGTCATATGATGTGTTAACATGTGCTAGAACTTTCATATCATGTGTTAACATGTGTTACGACTGTGATAATATTTGTTAACATGTGTTAAGTCTCTCATATAATGTGTTAACATGTGTTACGACTGTCATATCATGTGTTAACATTTGTTACGACTGTCATAATATGTGTTAACATGTGCTAGGACTTTCATATCATGTGTTAACATGTGTTACGACTTTCATATCATGTGTTAAAATGTGTTACGACTGTCATATGATATTTAACATGTGCTACAATTTTATATCATGTGTTAACATGTGTTACGGCTGTCATATGATGTGTTAACATGTGCTAGAACTTTCATATCATGTGTTAACATGTGTTACGACTGTCATAATATTTGTTAACATGTGTTAAGTCTCTCATATAATGTGTTAACATGTGTTACGACTGTCATATCATGTGTTAACATTTGTTACGGCTGTCATATCATATGTTAACATGTATTACGGCTGTCATATGATGTGTTAACATGTGTTACGGCTGTTATATCATGTATTAACATATGTTGCGGCTGTCGTATCATGTGTTAACATGTATTACGGCTGTCATATGATGTGTTAACATGTGTTACGGCTGTCATATGATGTGTTAACATGTGCTAGAACTTTCATATCATGTGTTAACATGTGTTACGACTGTCATAATATTTGTTAACATGTGTTAAGTCTCTCATATAATGTGTTAACATGTGTTACGACTGTCATATCATGTGTTAACATTTGTTACGGCTGTCATATCATATGTTAACATGTATTACGGCTGTCATATGATGTGTTAACATGTGTTACGGCTGTTATATCATGTGTTAACATATGTTGCGGCTGTCGTATCATGTGTTCACATGTGTTACGGCTGTCATATCATGTGTTAACATGTGTTACGACTGTCATATCATGTGTTAACATGTGTTACGGCTGTCATATCATGTGTTAACATGTGTTACGACTGTCATATCATGTGTTAACATTTGTTACGACTGTCATAATATGTGTTAACATGTGCTAGGACTTACATATCATGTGTTAACATGTGTTACGACCTTCATATCATGTGTTAACATGTGTTAAGTTTCTCATATAATGTGTTATCATGTGTTACGGCTGTCATATGATGTGTTATCATGTGATTAGACTGTCATACAATGTGTGAACATGTGTTACGATTTTCATATCATGTGTTAACATGTTTTAAGACTGTCATATCATGTGTTAACATGTGTTAAGACTGTCATATCATGTGTTAACATTTGTTACGACTGTCATAATATGTGTTAACATGTGTTACGGCTGTCATATCTTGTGTTAACTTGTGTTAAGACTGTCATATGATGTACTAACATGTGATAAGAATGTCATGTCATGTGTTAACATGTGTTACGACTATCATATCATGCGTTAACATATGTTACGTCTGTCACACAATGTGTTAACCTGTGTTTCGACTTTCATATCATGTGTTAACATGTGTTATGGCTGTCATTATCATGTGTAAACATGTGTTACGACTGTCATATGATGTGTTAACATGTGCTAGAACTTTCATATCATGTGTTAAGTCTCTCATATAATGTGTTAACATGTGTTACGACCGTCATATCATGTGTTAACATGTGTTGAGACTGTCATATGATGTTTTAACATGTGTTACGACTGTCATATATTGTGTTAACATGTGTTACGACTTTCATATCATGTGGTAACATATGTTACGGCTGTCATATCCTGTGGTAACATGTGTTACGACAGTTATAACTTGTGTTTACATGTGTTACGACTGTCATATGATGTTTTAACATGTGCTACAATTATATAGCATGTGTTAACATGTGTTACGGCTGTCATATGATGTGTTAACATGTGCTAGAACTTTCATATCATGTGTTAACATATGTTACGACTGTCATAATATTTGTTAACATGAGTTAAGTCTCTCATATAATGTGTTAGGATTTCATTTTCAATTTAAATCATTTTAATACAAGAGAATGACAGGAATGAAAGTTTAATTTATTGTAAACTATATAGTTTCATTGTCATTTCATTTTTTGCCTGGTCAGGTTTTTTTTTCTCTGATACAAATTAAATTTATATTTGGTTCATGAAATTACACTAAAATCATGTTAGACATTTGTGAATTGACAATGATGAAATTGAATTGTTTATATATTGTTAAATATGAAACATTCCTTACTCTTACAGGCCAATGATGCAACAAGTCAGTGTGACATAATCAAAGAATATTCTTATATCATTACAGACAAAAACTGAGGCCAGTTAGTTCATAATGTATTTATAATTGAAGATAGTCCTATATCATCTCAGACTTGACTGCCAGTCTTTATTTTGTATTTATAGCATGCTTCTATGTATATTAAACACTGCTGAAAATGCTCATTTTTTTACGTTTTTGTATGTGCATGTGTCTAGCATATATTCAAAGTTACAATGTTACAGCCTTTGTTACTGTGTCACAAAATCATTATCTGGCAATCATACAAAAGCATGCACTCACAAACTCAATAAGACACCCACACACTACTACAATCACATACTCGCACAATTATACATTCTCACTCTTACACGAGACTCACTCAAACGCATACTTACACACAAATGAACTCACACTCACACATTTACACTCAAACACACACTGAAATACTGGCTTACAATCCTACACACGAAATTACATACACTCTTACACATTTGCATACTTACTCATACTCAGCAACATGCACTCCATCACTCACTCACAAATTCTAAAACCCTTTCACACCAAACTTAAAAACTTATGAAATTGCACACTTACTCACTGACATGTTTACACATACTTACACACAAAACAAATGACAGGAACAGACACAATCTTAGACAAACATACACATATAAAAAGATCCTAGGTTCTTCCCCCACTCTGCCCATGATTAAAACCACTTCTGTTTAGAGATTCAAATAAACACAGGTTTTGTCCAAGTGACTAGCAGCAATATTTTGCCACTACAACCTAAGTTGAAATTACCATAATTGGACCCTTGCTAACCATTAGACCAACAACTTCAGACCACTGCGACCTATCTTTCCACTAATTTAACACCATCTTGACCCTGATGAAACCAACAACAAATATCTCAGACCACGCTGACCTATCTTGGCTTAAATATGATTTGACCTAAGTTCACCACTGTCTTGACCCCAATTAGTAGTTTTCAGTAATGGCATAAAACCAACAACAATCTCAAACCACATTTATGACATGAAAACAAACAAAAAATAAGCTAATATGAGTGTAAGTGCAAGTAAAACAAACAATCCTATAAGTGCACATGTGAGTGTCAATATTCATGTAATTGTGAGTGTAAATCAGAATATAAATGTGATATAAAGTGCTGGAATTCTGCCCATTGAGGACATTTTTAAACTAATTTACCAAATGGAATTTTACTTGCACTCTTTATAGCAATGTTGTGTTGCATTTCTGACATATTTTATTGTAACATTTGTTTTATTTTATTTATTTTTTTTAGCTTTATTCCACATTACAATGAAAACCAAGTTTAACATAATAAAAATATGTGGTATAGGCATTTTAGACTTAATGCCTGTCTAGTTTTAGAAATTCTCAAAGTGGTGAGTGAATGTTGGCCCCACTAAGCTATTCATGGCATTGCAAGCCTTTTGCACATTTGATGTCATGGGTCCTGGACCACAGCTGAATACTCCAACTTGAGAAACCTGCAAAGTAAAGAAGACAAGTTATTTGGTGAAGCTGAGTGTTGTAGGTCATTTTATAAAGTAAGGAGTTGTAGGTCATTTTGTAAAGTAAGGAGTTGTAGGTCATTTTGTAAAGTAAGGAGTTGTAGGTCATTTTGTAAAGTAAGGAGTTGTAGGTCATTTTGTAAAGTAAGGAGTTGTAGGTCATTTTGTAAAGTAAGGAGTTGTAGGTCATTTTGTAAAGTAAGGAGTTGTAGGTCATTTTGTAAAGTAAGGAGTTGTAGGTCATTTTGTAAAGTAAGGAGTTGTAGGTCATTTTGTAAAGTAAGGAGTTGTAGGTCATTTTGTAAAGTAAGGAGTTGTAGGTCATTTTGTAAAGTAAGGAGTTGTAGGTCATTTTGTAAAGTAAGGAGTTGTAGGTCATTTTGTAAAGTAAGGAGTTGTAGGTCATTTTGTAAAGTAAGGAGTTGTAGGTCATTTTGTAAAGTAAGGAGTTGTAGGTCATTTTGTAAAGTAAGGAGTTGTAGGTCATTTTGTAAAGTAAAGAGTTGTAGGTCATTTTGTAAAGTAAGGAGTTGTAGGTCATTTTGTAAAGTAAGGAGTTGTAGGTCATTTTGTAAAGTAAGGAGTTGTAGGTCATTTTGTAAAGTAAGGAGTTGTAGGTCATTTTGTAAAGTAAAATGATGAGGGTCATTTTGTAAAGTAAAACAATGTAGGTCAATTAGTGATGTTATTTTGTGAGGTAAATGGTTGAATTAGTGTTGTCTGTGATTTTGTGAGATAAGGAGTTGTAGGTGATTTGGTGAAGTTAATGGCATTTTTTGAGGTAAATAGTTTCATAATGAAGTAAAACGTGATGGTCACTCCAAGTTAAGTTTAAAGAAAAAAACTTACATCTTTGTGCACCTCTGTGAGAGCCCAGAAGAAATCTTCAAAGTTTGGTCTGCCAAAATGTGTCACTGCCTTCAAGCCGGTGAACAAACTTTTACCTTCCACCTTTTGGAAGTACCTCTCACATATATACTGAAACAAAATAAAGCACATGTCACGGTGAAATTAACAAAAAAAAAAACAACTAAAACATTGATCACTTTTGTAAACTATCTTGTGAAGCTACGTAAAATTTCTTAATTTCGGGTTCAGTAAAAATGAGTCCACACTCACCAGCATGGTTGTCCTGAGATCGTATCGTTGCTGGAACTGGGTCACAAAGATGTGTGTATCAACAATGCCCCTGAGATCTGCTGCCTCAACGTCCCGAATGATGTCCACCAGCCATTCAAAGCTGTGCTGGGTCCGTGTCACCCAGATAAAATAAACCTACAAGGTGTGGTAAAAAAAGGGTTATTATTGGAACAGTAATGTCAACTGTCTACACAACACCTACACAAAAACTGCATATTCCATTTTTACTTTCTTGTATACGATGTATAGAAGAAGTATTTTATATACAAAAATCGAAATTGAGATTTTAACAAACCTCGCCGTTTTACACCTCCCTGAGTAGGAAAAACTTAGTTTTACAATTTTGTCAGTATGTCTGTGTCTGTGTGTCTGTTTGTGAACATGATGTGTAGTTTTGTACATTGGGTAAGGGACAGTAATCTGCAATCATTTAAGATACAAGTGACTAAAAAGTTATCCTACCTTTTTACATGTGACCTGTATTCCTGTCTTGGATTTGAACGCTATGTCTTTTAAAATGGAGGCAAATGGTGTGACTCCAATACCACCACCCACCAACACCGCCACCTCACATGAGTACCAGTCTTGGTGACCCTCACCAAATGGACCATCAAGAAACAGCTGGAGAGAAGAGTTTTCATCATTTTTTTACCAGCTTATAATATAAGTTTTAAGAAGCAACAACAATTTGTTAGTCATTAACTGTTTGAACAATATGTATATTCATAAGCTCCAAATTAAAAACTAAAACTCACATTTGGGAGCTTTTGTAGATCTTCATTTTCTCCTGGGCTATAGATTTTCCTGAGATTTGTTGTCCAAGGCCCCACAGCCCTGATGTGTAGGCTAAGGTGTGACTCATGGGGGGCAGAGGTGAGGGTGAAGGGATGGTATTCAGTTTCACTCAGCTCTGTGCATGCTATACGCACCCACTGCCCAGATTTGTAGTTAAATGTTGCTGGTCGTTTGAAGACAAGTCGCAGAACACCTGGAAATTTGTATCATTTTAGTTTAGTTGATGAAAATCTGGAAAAAGGCTAACATGAGCAAAGGGTCAAAACAGACAATGCACAAAATGAACAGACCAAAAAACTAAAGCACTTCTCATTTGCATTCATGTTACTGAATTTTTTGAAGTAACATAACTTTTTTTTTGACATCAGATTCTGCATTACAAAGTTATAGGCTAGCAAGAAGCAGAACTTGAGATCAGATATGATAACATTTAGGCCTATACTTGATCATTTTTTTTTAATTGTATACCCAGAACACAAAAAACTTTTATTACAAACTGTCAAAGCCACAAAAAGTGACATTATGGCATAGTTATCTTAAGTCAGTTGGCCTTTTGTCAGTGTCACCAGTCACCTTTTTTTTTCTTTTTGTAAAATACAAAATTTGTGAAATTATTTTGAACAGCAGTTTATTCTGAAGTTGAACTGTTGTTAATTTTTTCCTGAAAGAAACCTGCTCTACCTGATGGAAGGGGTGTGGCACTCTTGACAGAAATCTCAACCTTGTTTCTGCTGGTACTTTGCAGCCTGTCAATAATGAAGAGGATGAGAGGACCAATCAGGTACCAGGAGAAGAGTGGGGCTTGGACTAGCCTGCCTACACCATGAAGAAATGTCAACACATAGACTAGCCAGTACAGACTGTGGGTCAGCCAGAATGCCTGAAACAAATATCGATTTTTTTTTTTTGGCAGACGTTTTTTTTACTTTCTCGTATATACGAAGTATAAAGAAAGTCTTGTAATCGCTGGGTCGGAAAAACATAGTTTTGCAATCTTGTCCGTATGTCTGTGTGTGTGTATGTGTGTGTGTGTCTGTAAACAGTACTGTTACAGCTAGGTTGATGAAATTTCATAAATAAGTATTATATGTATATCCGTATTAACTTTTGAGTGATTTCCGATAACCGGAAGTGGAACCTTTTCTACTTGCAATTTTTCAAAAGCCTATAACCTGAGTACTATTTCAGATGATAAATAAAATTTCACATGTAAGTAAAAGATCTAATTCTCTGCCTTCTGTCAAATTTAGAGTAACTTCCAATTTCTCAAAGACGCATGTGAATTTATAAAGTACTAATAATATTCCGCACTATTATGCACATTTTATTTGGCGTTCACTTGGTGTGCAATTCTTTTTCTAAGAGATTTTATTCTGTTTTAAAAAGTTGAAGTATTTAAAATGGATTAAAAATCATGTCGATATCCCGAGTTGCCATCCCCTGTTGTTTCATTTAAGATTATTCAAGAAAGATTAGGCGAGATCACTCCCGGTTTATTTAAAATTGGAACAAAGCAGATTTTAGTCAAAAAAGTCAGAAATGTTTCACTGCTGTCAGCCCTGTACTGTGGATGTGCACTTAAGATTTCTTACCTTGAAGACATGTCTACGAGCAAATTGTGTGGCAAACACGTACATGATAAAGATGAGCACAGTAACCAGCACACCAGTCAGACCTGTTGAGACAAGGGTTACATCATTATTTCAATTGATAACTTCTTCAATTTTGAAAAAATATTTTATTATGGACAATTCATTTAAGACACCACCCATTAACACATAGGCTTACATATGTTTTTTTAAATTTCTGTAAATACCTGTGATAGTTTGATAAGCCCAGTAATGGAAGGTAGCAAAGGAGTCAGTCCTATGAAGAAGAAAAAACAAAATTCCAAAATCTGCTAGATTTGAGGTAATAAATCTATGTATGTTATTCTTTTAGAAAGTCATCTGTAAAACCTGATTATCCTTAGAGCAGACTATCTAGAAGATTCTTGCATAACATTATATTCAGGTAATCTCACATAAAACATTATCTTTAAAGTTTTAGAATCTAAAAAAAGCATCAACATTCATGGAAACTAAAGGGGTTGGTGTGGTCAACTCGGTAAAACTCATGGCTGCTAAACTGCAAAGTCTCGAGTTCGAACCCTCGGGCAGATGAGGCTTGTTAGCTGGGGACAGCAACTCTTCTAGGATAGACAACTCCAAAATCGAACAACTACTGCCGTGTAGTTTGTTCTTGGCTGGACAAAGGCTATGGAAGCAAATCCATAAAGAAAACCAGGCTGAAATTGGAGTCAATGGCCTCAATGGTGCATAACCAGTTAATACATATCCTTAATTGTGTTGGAGGGGCATCCCTTCCAACATTAAAATTAAGAATGAAGAAGAAGATGGAAATTAAAGATGCCTTTTAACTTACTCTGTTTTGTACTCCCCAAAGAAACAGTTAATGCTGGTGGTGGACTGGGTACACATGCAGTAGAGGTTCATAGCATGGGTCACAACATGAACAACTGTAACAAATTTAACATAATCATTATTCAACATCTCTTACACTACAAGACAAGTGTTATAAATATGTGTTAACAGAATGCTTTATTTGTATACATAACAACCACTTTTCTCTCTCAACAGCTTTCATATACTTTTTTTTAAATGTCTAATGTCTGTCTCACAAGAATAACATATTTTTCATTTTTTTTACTTTCTTAGATTAGGTGCGTACTTACGTGTACCAATTATTGCCAGTACAGCTATGTACTTATGAAATGATACGGCCGAATCAAATGGGATAAACCTATGTAAAAATGTTTCTCGCAGAGCTGGAAAAAAATCCAATCGCTATGTGTTAAGAAGGGTGAAATACAACTTAACACAAACATTAACATAAAATAATTCCATTGATTGGATACATTTTGATATATACAAACTTAAAAGAAAATATTGATATTAGTAATTCTATTCTTCTAGTTTACCTGTGATGGTGTTGCGACACATGGTGACCAGTAGGCTGGAGTAAGTGAACATGATCACACTGGCAGACCCCCTGATCATAGCTGTTATCCATGCACCTGACATGCGCCTCAAGCCAGCATGCTCTCTGCCTTTTGCAAAAACTGTTGTGGGAAAAATGAATCAATTTGATGTCATATACCATGACAAAAACAAAACAGAAAAAACACATGGGTTTTAACAAGTTGGATAACTCTGACTGACAGAAAGTTTTTTTCTATCACAGGATTAGAACACTAGCAAAACAATTTAGATTAGTGTGGTGGGAGGAGATGTTGATATTGTATTTATATATTGCTATACACCATGTGTATATGAGGGATCTTGTGTGAATCCTGTACAGAATTCTCTAAGAACTATCAATTTAAATGACTCAACTGACAGTTCGAATTTCAGTGTTTGTTAACATATACAATCCATCTATTTCTACCTCCGCTTCTTAACTCTGATGTCCTACACTTTACTTCCACAAACTCAACTATCTCCTAGCCCTAACAATATCTATGTTCAATTTCTAACATTTGACATTCTCCTAAACACTTTGACCAACTACGTCTGGCATTAGGTCATCAGACCATTGCAGGTGACCAGTCTGTTTGCATCTCATTTCTCATTGGTTCCTACCTATTCTAGCTAATCTACATAACTCCTCTGCTTGACCTCTGGCTATTGTACATTGTGTCCTTTGTGTTTGACCCACTTAACATAGAATTACTTGCGTCATCGTAATTAGTTTAGCCGAGACTTACATAGGACACTAACACGACATACTGGACATGAGAGGAATTATCTACACAATACACAAACAGGACAATTAGGACTCACAGAAAGCTCGCTCCACAAAGATGCCTATAGTGACTAGTGTATACAGGACAGCCCAGAAGATCTGCAACCTGTAGCGGTCAATGTAGCGTGACACTGAGTGCAGGACCTGACCAACTGAAGTCCTTGGGTACTGTCTTGGTCCAACTGTCAAGTTCAGTGCATTTGATATCCTGGATCCTGCAGGTAATTGCTCACCAGCTAACACACTCCTGCCTGCATCCTTTGTCTTATGCTTGTTGGAGCTTAAAAATATTTATTGATTTTACATAAATTAGAGTATTGTTACTATTGCTAAACTGTACTATTGTCCACTGTATCCCATTTTTCATCTCTCTTCATTATCTAGTTCATGGCCATGTCTCCTTCAAGTCTGACCTGAAACCTCTAGTCTTACTACAATGCCCTCCTTCTAAGTCAGATCTGAAACCACTAGTCTGCCTGCTATGCCCTCCCTCCTTAAATCTGAACTTAAACCACTTGTCTGCCTACTATGCCCTCCCTCCTTAAATCTGAACTTAAACCACTAGTCTGCCTACTATGCCCTCCCTCCTTAAATCTGAACTTAAACCACTAGTCTGCCTACTATGCCCTCCCTCCTTAAATCTGAACTTAAACCACTTGTCTGCCTACTATGCCCTCCCTCCTTAAATCTGAACTTAAACCACTTGTCTGCCTACTATGCCCTCCCACCTAAATCTGAACTTAAACCACTTGTCTGCCTGCTATGCCCTCCCTCCTTAAATCAGAACTTAAACCACTAGTCTGTCTACAATGCTCTCCCTCCTTAGATCTGAACTTAAACCACAAGTCTGCCTGCTATGCCCTCCCTCCTTAAATCTGAACTTAAACCACTTGTCTGCCTACTATGCCCTCCCACCTTAAATCTGAACTTAAACCACTAGTCTGCCTACTATGCCCTCCCTCCTTAAATCTGAACTTAAACCACTAGTCTGCCTGCTATGCCTTCCTTCCTTCAAGTCTGAACTGGTGGCTTAGCTATTCTACATTTGACAACATTGTCAATTTCAAAGTTAACTACTTCTGGCCAACTTTTTTAGCGCAATTTCCATTCTGGAGAATTGCGTTTATTAACTCGTCATTTCTGGGAATGGATGGATGAATGTATGGATGAATGAATGTATGGATGAATGTGTGTCCGGGCTTTAAGTCGTATCTCCTCCTCAACGAAGCAATATCGATGACTAGTTCCAAAAGCAATTATGTTAAGCAAGTTACGAGAATGAGCTTAGGCCATAAAATTCCGGGTTTCTTTCATGTATTTCCCGGAAAAGCCAAAAAACCTCGAAAAAATTCAGTTTTTGGCCCATATCTCGGCAACCAGACCACTTAGCGACTTGAAACATGTACCAATCGATTCCTGCCATAATTTAGAACAATATTGCCGAAGAAAGTTTTCAAAAATATCCTTTCGTTCGGTCACAAAAAATTTTTGAATTAATTAAATTTGGACCGAATTAGTAGGCATTTTTTCCAACCACACCACAAGCGTCATCACGTTCAATAGCTGCGCCATCGCGTTCCATGGCTGCGCCATCACGTTCAGTAGGCGCGCAATGGTTTTTAGTCATGTAACTCTATTGTAAATAAAACATGTAAAATACTGAAAAAAATTAATAAAAAACGTTTTAATAACTAACCAATGGTTTTACTAACCCTGCTCTTGATTTACGCTACGACAGAGCTATTTTTAGATAACATAAGGAAATTGCGCTAAAATTGTCACTAGACTTTTTAATTACCTTGTTTTTATCTAAAGAATTGTTTTACATTGTTTGGCAACAATGACAACTTCCCTATTGTCTGTCTAATGATATACAAGAAATGACTTAATGTTGATGACAAATCTTTTTGATTACATTAAAGTAGTCACTAAAGAAGATACTCACATGTAGCTTTTAATAAATGTGTTTCGCCTGGTGAGCTTTCCACCTCTCTGGACAACATTTTGTGTGGGGGCATGTTGGGTAGCTAATAAATGTTAAAAATCTTAATCAAATTGACTTGGTGAGCTACCCTGACTTAACATCAAAAATTTATGTTTTGTACTGCTTCAGCTTATGCAAATTATCAGAAGTTAAATGTAACATACATGTTTTTTCTTAAACAACAGCAGTGAAAGTGAAATTGCCACCTTACCTTTACCCAAAATGGTGGCATTCTGTAGCGTAGATGAGTACTCCTCGGAACAGAAGATTTTCTGGAAATGTTGTATCGTTATCTGGCTTGCATCGGTCAGGCCTACATGCTTGAACATGGAGGTGACAAGATCTTTTACTGAGCCATCAGTTAGGTCTGCACTTTCAGCCAGATCCAACAGGGATCTAAAGAGAAAGAAACAGTTGGTGATGCTTCAAAAATTAGTCTGTGTTCTATCTTAAACATTAAAATTTAAGATTTTAAGATGCAGACTTGGCTATTTTACAGAATAAAAAATTAATTTACTTTTGACCAACTTAGTTTAGATGTAAAACAACATAAGCAAGTGTATAAACAATAGATTATACTAAAAGTTGGCCAGTTTACTTCAATCTACTTACTTTATCATTCGATAGAACTCATCTTTTGTGAGATATCCTACTTTTCGTACATCATAAATGTTAAAAAGCAATCTACTTTTTTCTTCAGCGGTTCCTATAATGAAAATTAAATAGAGAAATGTTTTCAATCATTCTTATTCTCTACAATTTAAATCTGAAAATCACAAAAAAATCAAAACCCTCTCTAAAATGATGTTTTAAATAAACATCATAATACCATATCATAAACTATATCCAGACATGTGCTGTCACTATATTCAATTCCATAGTTCAAATTGAGTATGGTCTATTTATTGTCTTTTAAACACACTTTTAATAAATTAGTATTAAAAATTGTAACTTTACCCTTTTATAAAAAGGTGGATCACAAAAGACAATGTCCATTAAAATCTGTTAGAATTAGCTCAAACCTGAAATACTATTTTCTAATTTCTGAGCATTAACAGATGGCACATAGAGCACGCCAAATCCTTTTAACTATTTTTTTCAAGTTTTTATTTCGGTAATAATTTACAATTTTGAAATCCCAGTCAAAAGATAACATCATCATCTTTTTCCTTCAGAGCCCAGGACAAATGGGCCTGTCATAAGATAAAATTGAATAGTAAAATATGTTTGAACTTAACAGGGTTGAAAATAAAGCAAAAACATTGAAAATGGTTAATACAATAATTTAAAACTCACCTTTTAAGAAAATTGCAAACAAGTGCAAAAACTCCTCAAAAGCCAAATATCTGTCATTGTTTATGTCTGCTAATAGAAAGACATTCTTCACAAAAAGAGAGGATGGTTGCATGCCCATGGCATCAGCAAATTCAGTCATGGTCAGCTTGATGTGAATCACCTCATCCACAACCTTGAGGTCCAGTCGATCATCCTCATTCAGGCCAGTACCATCAAATGCCTGTAACAATTTGAATGTTAACTACTGCAGCATACTGGAAGAATACCAGCACAACAACAGTACACCACTAAAAGACAACTAACCACACCAGTACACCACCAGTAGACTACCAATTCAATACCAGCAGAGTACTAATTCACTACCAAAAACAGATGCTGTATAGTACCAGTACTCTATTAATGATGTACAATATTAGTTCCAACACAATATCCAATCAAAACATCAAAAATGAACTATAAAATAAACATAATTGTTAGTAAAAATTAATAAAAACATTTATATAACAACCACTTATATGCTTTTAGCTGTCACCCTTCTTCATTCAACAACAAGCTATATGCTTTAAGCTGTCACCATTCATTAAAGAACATATTGTTTTTTGCTTAAAGCTGTCATGATTCTTTATAAAACAATGAACTTACTGTAAGGCAGACAGCTCTGAAGAATTTGTCCAACAACTTTTGCCTTTGATCTTTATCATTAGCGTTGGAAAACAGAGATGTTTCTGAGGCATGCTGGGTGTCAAGAGAAATGCCTATCTCAGATAAGAATCTTTCAAGAGCTCCAACAAAACTTTCTCGAATAGCAAATCCTGGAAATCGTAAGATCTGTGCATGGAAATTAAACAAATGGTTGCATGGTTTTTTTTAAATGTCCTGTAATAATAACAATGAGAAGTCAGAATATTAGGGGAAAATTTTTTTTAAATTCTCCATTAACAAATCTGTAGTAAAATTATGTGAATAATTGTTTTCCCAAGCCAATGATGCAAATAATTTTCCTTACTAAGTCAATATCTCCTGGGACCTTAAGACACAGCAGGGACAAATCTTTGTCTGATGACAGATGGAGAGTCACACTGGCTGCAGCAGATGACTTGAAGTCCACATACCTCAGGTCTCTACCCCGGGGGTCGCGGATGACAATGCGCTGCTCATCTGACTTCAGCTCACCTCTGACATCTCGGTAACCAGAGCTCTTGCCGAGATACTCGTTACCTGGTCATTGATGAACCTCGTTAACAACAGCACTGAATCAGCATTGTTAACAGGAGAACTAGAGCAACTTTTTCATCAAAGTACTTTTGAATTACAAAACTTAAAATTAAATTTTTGTTTTTAAAAAAAAAGGGGGTAGGTTAAAACTGATGTGTTGGAATTTGATTTTAAGATTATAATCAAAGTTAAAATTCAACAACCAAAATTTTAAATGACTTACCTCTAAACTTATTTTTGTCATTTTTCATAATCAAAGTTGATTTTCTTTTATTGGTTTCAACAATAACTACTTTTTTCTTTTTAACCATACAACACAATACTCCAATAGACACTAGAATAAAAATGGTTAAAAAATAAAATTAAAATAGAAATCACTGAATTACACTTAGATTAAATTATTGCCATTTATAAAATAAAAGTAGTGTTGCATGTCAGTTATCTTTTATTTTTAGAATCCTTACAGTTGTTTTTTTTTAACTGACTGGGAGATGGTGTAAAAAAAATTTACCTGGGATAACAAGGGCAAGTGCCAAAAAGGAAAGTGCAAATGACCATTCACTTCCAGTTATATAATCATATGTGGCCAAGGGACTGCAGATCTCAACTTCTGGGTTAGAAACATAGTCCATATTTGGGGGATCCTTACAACTACATTGTCCAACTGATCCTTCAATACAATTGATTTTAAGTCAAGTAATTGCAGTTGATTAATAATGTACTTATTAAAGAAATTAAATTGTTCAATAAGTCTGAAAATAAAAATATAATGAACTAAAACAAGGGTTGTCTAAAAAGTAAAATAAGAAAGCTAATAGGACATAGGTATGACCAAGTCGATGATGGGCATGGAAATCCATGCCAAGACTACATTGTTAATTCAAGCTATTTAAACATGTTTGCAACCAAATTGTTATAACATGCTAGCAACACTAACACAACCAAATTGTTTTAACATGCTAGCAAATCTAACACAACCAAATTGTTATGACATGCTAGCAACTCTAACTCAACCAAATTGTTTAAACACACTAGCAACCAATTGATGAAATTCCTACCATCACAAACAAAAACATTAGATGGAAGATTTGTGAGGTGGGTAGTCTCCTCTAGTACATCAACAAAGCTGATACCCTCTATCTCTAGAATTTCTGTTGCATTGAAAACACTGGAATAGATTTTATAATATTTATAAAAATAAAATGGCTAGGATTTTCTTTCAAAACTATTGTCACTGTGTTGATCTAGAACCAAAATGGAAATTATTTAATAAACGAGGTCAAAGAATGTCAACTTACTCTTTGTTTTGATACCAGAACCTATCAGTGTCCCTGACCCTGGTAAACTGCTCCAATATGATGCTCCTAAACACATCTGACATCCCATTCTTCTGATCCTTGTCCAGCAATCCTCCAGTCAGGAGGTCCAGGTCATTAGGTGCAGAGCCACCATATAATGTCTGAAGTGTCTGGTGCAACAGGATAAAAAGTAATTTATTAATTCCAGAGACTGACAATGAAATTTCCAAGCACAAAATAACAAAAACTTAGAAATTTTAATATATAAGAGCTAGAAGCAAACAATTTCAAATAAAATATTTATTGCTGGGTTATATATTTATTCTATTTTTTATATTTTGAGAATGTTCTTTTGAAAATAATAATTCCTGGATTGAAGCGAACCATTAACATTGAGATTTTTAGTGGCATTTTTATCTGACAAATACATAAGATTCACTTACACCATTAGCACCACCAAGCCTTGCCCAGTCTGTCAAAATATCCAGTCCATATGACCTGCGGATCGTGTTGAGACCAGACAAGCCATGGTCCCGAAATCTCTGGATCTGCTCACCCACATGATCATTGCGGGAGTATTCAAAAGGGCCATAGAAAGATTCTGTTGAAGTAGATTAAAAGTTTTAAACTAAATTCATCATGGCTTTCAGAGTGTTTTATGTTTTCTTTAGGTATTTTATGTAAAACAATCAAAAAACTTAAAATATCTGTTTATACTTAAATGAAAAGTACAGTCTGAAGATCTGATTATTTATAAATTATAAATAGCAGGGCTAGCTGACAAATTTTGTCTTTAAGATTAGATTTTACATAGACCTACATGCAAGGAACTGAAGCATAGTAGTGCTCTCACCCAAACAGAGTTAGATCAATACCTGAGTTTAATAAGGACACACACAGTAAAAGAATTACAACAAATGCAGCTTAATACCTTTTTATACAGGAGTATGTAAACAAATCAGGAAAATATTTCTTGTGTGTGTGTTACTTTTTTTTCTAATTTTATAGCTTGACCTACCAGAATAATCCTCAACATATTTGCCATTTTCCACCTTTGCTTTAGTGTAAATCATCCCTTGAATTATTGCCTCAAGTTCTTTCTTTACTACAGACTTAAAGTAGAAAAACAAAACTAATTTGTGACTGATATAGCATTACATCTTATAGTTGTGAATAGTTAATAGTAAGAGCAGTCTTTAGTATTGAAAAATCTCACATTTATTCATAATTATAATCCATAAAGCCTATATGCTTTTGATATTCATTCATAATCATAATCCATATAGCCTATATGCATTTTGTATCTATAAAAACATTAATAACAACTTTAAACAACCAACTTATATATATATATATATATATATATATATATATATATATATATATATATATATATATATATATATATATATATATATATATATATATGTTATTTATTTATTTATATACATATACGCCACATTGTAGGCATCTTTAATTATTTAAATTTTTAATTAGGTAAACATCTAATTGCACAGTCACCAAACATTTAGCTGCTTTAAGCATTGAAATAAATCACTTAGGTGTAAACAGTAACATGTGGAATGACTAGTAGTAATCAAGTTCAATAGAAGCATTTATAAGTATACATAATCATAATGAATCAATTAATGAATAGATTTTTCAAATCATTATTCACTATGGGATCCCATGATAAAAATGTTCAGATGTACTAATATTTCTGTAGTTACTGATATTTCATATTTATATAGATCTAACCACTCATTTTTACTTTGAAGAACGTTTTTTTTTCTCACCTGAGGATCCCAAAAGTGATTGCAGAGTCTGTAAGAGGTAACTGTCCTGTCTTCGCCATTTGGGCCTCGTCCTCTAGTGGTGTTAAAATTACAAGTCTCCCTGTATAACAAATTAAAATTTGTAGTAGATAATTTTTTTAAGCTTATTCATAAAAACTAGACTACAATAAACACTAGGCCTACATTTTAACTACATTTTAACATCATTATTTATTTTTACTTACTTCACTATTACAGGCCTACTGAATCTAGATCTAGTAAGTTACTAGATTCTAGATCTAGATTAATTACAATACTAATGTAGACTAGATTCTAGATTTTTTTTATTTTTCATAATTTAATAACAAAAATATAAAGGATAACGATCATTAATTAAATAATATTCTTTAAAATATCTAGGCCCTACTATTAGTAGGCCTACTAACTACTAGATTCTAGATCTATATACTTATTATACTATATAGTATATATTAATATTATATTTCATAGATATATATTAATTTATATCTATACATTAATAAGATCTAGAATCTATATATTATAATAATTATATATATTACTAATTAGTATTAGTAACCCACCCACCCCCATATATTAGAATATAGATAGATCAGAGGCATCGCAAGGCAGAAAGGGGGGCGCATCGCACCGGGTGACACCATTTAGGGGGTGACATCATGGCAAAAAATTGCAAAATAAATAGAAGAAAACACTTTTTGTCAGTTCGAATAATGATTACTTAGAGTTAATCCACCTGTATTAATAAGGGACTGTAGATAACCATCTTTACTATTAGGCAAAAGGGGATGTCACCAATTGCAATTAGATCTATATATATAGGCCTATGTAGACCTTTATATACATATATATATACATATATATATACATATATATATATATATATATATATATATATATATATATATATATATATATATATATATATATATATATATAGGCCTATATATATAATATATAATATATTTATGTAACATAAGTTTTTTTTTCTAGGGGAGGGTGACACCTTGCAGATGCGTAGCGACCCTTCCTGGGGACAAACTTTTCGATTTGCACTCCCCCCCCCCCCCCCCCCACCCTCAAGATTTCGATTTGCACCCCCCTCCTCAAACTTTCGATTTGCACCCACCCCCTCAAGATTTCGATTTGCACCCCCTCAACCTTTCTATTTATTTTTCCAACCCATTTTGGCGCCCCCTAAGGTCGGCGCTCGGGGACATATATCCCCCCCCCCCTCGCTACGCTACTGACACCATGAAGCGAGGTCCTGCACTAGGTGACACCCGACCTCGCGACGCCAATGAGAATTAATAACTTAGTATTAGTAGGCCTATAGTATTAATTATGAGTATTAATAGTATTATCAATCATCTATACTAGAGATATCTAGATATCTAGATCTAATCTAGATTCTATATTATATCGAAAGCATAAACATAAAATTTAAATTTAAAATAAGGCCTAAAACTTTTTGGCTCAAACTAGATCTAGATCTAGATCTAGTATAGATATAAATTCTAAATCTAGATATCGACTAGATCTAGATCTAGATCTAGATCATTAAAAAACACAATTAAAACAAAATAAAAACTGGCCAGAGCATTTTTTTAAAATATAGGCGGGAAAAACGAGATTACTAAACCAAACTTGAACAGCTTTATAAAAAAATTTAATCTTAATCTGGATTTATATATAGATCTAGATCTATATCTATACATTATATATATATATATATATATATATATATATATATATATATATATATATATATATATATATATATATATATATATATATATATATTAAATTGGTGAACAAGTCTTATTAAATAAGTTGCCGTTCAATCAAGGATCAAGATCTGCGCAATTAATAAACAGTAAAGTCAATAATCAATAAACTATAGAACACACGTGTATTTATAGAAACTAAATAATGAATTTTTTTAATAAGATTACAATATTCAAATAATTTTACGTACCCCGCATGCTTTGTTACTTGTTAGTATCATTCAGTTTTGGATTTTTAATTTAAAAAAAAAAACAACTGAATGTTTAGTCGATTACAACAAACTTCAATTCAAAAAACTGAAATCTTAACTAAACAAAGTGTGATTGTTAAAACAATAAACCAAACTCAATGGAAAGACACACTCAAAAGTGGTATTTGTCAACTTTTAACATGAATTAATCTTGTTTTCAGATATTTTTTTTTAAATGGATGTGCTCGGAAATTTAAGTGTAAGCCTAAAAGTGAAAAACTCTAAAAATAGTAAACTAGGTCTAGATTCTAGAAAAGCATAATAAAAATAGTAGTCTAAGTATAATTTAATTATAATTTAATTTCCGTTTGTAAGCTAAGAAGTATCAATTAACATTTGACGATTTTGAATGAAGGTAAATGTAGTGTGTTAAAAAAATGTAGAAATAAAACAATTTAAAAAAACTTTTTCAAATGAAAGTTATTTATTATTTAAGATGCGGCTGTTATGGAAAGGGGGTGCGCCCCCCCCCCTTCCCAATTGGCACAATTTCCATTGATGCCTATAGCATCTGGTTACTTTGTTTGATTGCTAATCAACGTTGGCCCTGAGTAACAATTTTAAAGATGTGGCTCCGAATAGAAATATTACATGTCCGTTAATATAAGTGTAGCAAAAAATTGCTTAAATTCTATTTTTTTTCATACATTTTATATAAAGCTTTAATTTTTAATACAAAAGAAAACACTGACTATTTGCAGATTCAAAACAACTTTAACTCTAGGCTTTCAATAGAAAAAGTATAAAAACAAGTTTTCAAAGTCACGAAACCACGCCACATCTCAAGAACTGTCCTCGACGACCGCTTTCATCCTACGAAGCAGTTCACCCTCGCCAGGGTACGTATACTCGTACTCCGGGTTACACCCACACTTCGCATCCTTCATCAGCTTTCCGTTGGGGGAGAAAAACAACATCCTGGGAACGTAGAAACCGTCAGGGCTGAAGTCGGGATCTCCCTTGGGCACTTCGAAATACTCCAGATTGACCATTACAAAGTGCTTGCTCATGCCTGCTATCCTCTTACTGGCGGAAAACCACGTTTTCACAGCATGGCACGCTGAGCACGTCATTTTGTGGACGACGATGAAGATAGGTTTCCCTTCAGCTTTGGCTTTAGCGTAAGCTTCTTCCAGGGGTGTCCACTCGTATTGCTCACCCCAACCTAGTCAGCATGCATACAATATATATATATATATATATATATATATATATATATATATATATATATATATATTTATATATATATATATATATATATATATATATATATATATATATATATATATATATATATATATATATTATATATATATGTGTGTGTGTGTGTATTTATATATGTGTGTGTGTGTGCAATAATTGATGTCACACTCCTGAAGAGAGGGGGGGGGTCAATCTTTGTGACGATTTTGCTGCGAGGGAGGGAGTAGGAATACAGAAATGGGATCTCACTTTAGAATTAACTTAAGCATGTCATTTTCACACGGATTTGCAGAGATTTGCATTGCTCAATAGCGACGTTTTAGGTTACATCCACTTAAAGCTCAATTTAGGAAATAGCGGCTTAAATTGAATGCAGAGATTTGCATTGCTCAATAGCGACGTTTTAGGTTACATCCACTTAAAGCTCAATTAAGGAAATAGCGGCTTAAAACGGGAAACTGAACATGTTCAAGATATCATTTTAGGGGTGAGTTGTCTTTTTCATCGAAATAACGAGTGTGAAGTCACATGTGGGTGTGTGTGTATGCTTGTGTATCAGTGGCGGAACAACATAGCCGCCCCTTCCCCCCCCCCCCCCCCCCCCCCCGAAGGCCAGTGCAGTTTAGTGGGTCCAAACTCTGCCCATTATAATAGAATTTTATAGATTTAGGCCTAATAATTAAATTTACCGAAATAGTCTCGCATATTATGATCTTTCAAACCTAAACGAAGCATTATTGTCTTTGTTAATAAGCAATCCAATTTTATATTTAAACAAGGAAAGAGGGGTTCTGTGGATTGAAAGACATTCTAATTCTACTAATATTCTTAATGTAGCTTCAACTTCAAATACTTCTTGCCATGTTGAAAACTATGGTAGATTTTATAGTTTATAAATTATACTTTATACCCTTGATGTTTTTAGATCTAGATCTAGATCTAGATCTATATTTTGTATTTCAATTATAGGCCCTATCTATACAATTCAAGTTGGGTTTTTTCTGTTGATCTACTTACCTCTAGACTTAGCACCGCTGGCAAACGTCACGCCGAAGAAAGAACGAATACCAGATGCCAATCCTGATATTAAATAATCCGCCATTTCTTAGTAACTAGAGTTGGTACACACACCCTTTTCATTGCGTGTTCATTAAAAGAAGAATGCGCACTTTAATGCATAATTGATACAATAAATATTTCTGCCTAATGTTTTGGTGGGCGGTAATTTTTAGGCATCACTGCTTTGATTTTACTTTTAAAATACTAACATTAAAAGGTTAATGAAAGCGAGTACAATATAAAAACTATCTGAAATTTGAACACCAAGTTTGAACGAAAGGTGCGCGCTTGATCGCACCATGTTTAACTGAATTCTGCGTTTCCGGTACTAAGTTACTGTTGTATTTGTATCATTCAAATTTATTCAATTATGATCAGAAAATGGTTTTTAGCAGTATTCTAAATCTGACAGTGCCAAAGCTGATCGGCTTAGGGGCAGTTGTTGCTGGTAGCAGCATTGCGAGAGGTAAGCGATCAAAAGGATGACGTTGTTTTTTTTCCCGAAGGTCATGCGCTTCTTATGTTAGCACCCTTGACCTAAAACTGCTCGGCTAAAAGTAAAGGTTGTGCTACTACACCTCAAGATCTAGATCTAGATCTGTCTATATCTAGACTTAGAACCTAGTTAAAGAGCAAGTATCGTTTGTTCCTGGAAATTTAGTTATAGATCCCGAAGACACACTAATAAATAAGCAGATCTACTTATGTATAGAAACGTTTTTGTTCAAGGGTTAAAATAAAACCACTGGTATCATTCACTGCAACAGCGAACTAAAAATCTAGTCAGATCTGGCTATCTGGAATTCTAGATCTATGTAGATTCTACTCTAGATATAGAATCTACCAGCTAGTGCTCTTAAGACAGTAGTAGTGGCAGTAGCGTAGTGAGGGGGAGCGGGAGGGGGGACATATGTCCCCGGGCGCCGACCTTAGGGGCCTAAATGGGTTGGAAAAAATAAATTGAAAGGTTGAGGGGGGTGCAAATTGAAAGTTTGAGGGGGGGGGTGCAAATCGAAATCTTGAGGGGGTTGCAAATCGAAAAGTTTGTCCCCGGTAGAACATTTGGCGAGATCGAACATTTTCAGAATACTTGCATTCTTCTTAATTAAAACATGATATTTTAACAACTCGCGTTTACAATTTAGACATTCATGTGGCTTTCTATTACCATTAGCGCATTCCCATACCAACAACTACATTTAATCACAAATCGGATCTTATTGACCATAACCCAAGCTATATACTCTTTGGTACCGCTCAGTTCAGCTGGTGTTGATATTATTAAACGATACATTCCTCTGTTCGCAGGCTGGGGTGAATCTATCAAATGGACATCACTCGATGAAGGCAAGGCTATGGCCAGACGGTCCAGCAAACCGATCATGGTCGTCATCCACAAGAACAAATGTCCAGCCTGCAACGACCTGAAACCTAAATTCGCCATCGATTCGGACATTCAAAACTTGAGCCGGCACTTTGTTATGGTCAACCTGGAGACGGACGAGGTGCCGAAATCGTCAGAATTCCAGCCTGATGGTCCATACGTTCCTCGAATCCTGTTCTTCGGACCGGACTGCAAGCTGATTTCAGACGTCCACAACAGCGACAAGGCCCAGAAATTTCTCTACAACGAGGTCAACGATATCGCAGACAACATGCGCCAAGTGCTGAATGATATCAACTGATCACAAGTAGCACGTGCAGAAAGCGCTATCTGTTGTTTTTGTTGTACCGGCGCTGCTACTGTTAATTAGTTGTACTAGATGGCCATTTACACATTATACTGTGTGATATAAGATTATATTTTCAAGTTTTAAGAGGAGAAAAAACGATTGAATGAGCTTAGTTTGGATGCTCTTATCAAGTTATTTGTTTTTTAAAGATAGTTTCGCAGTTTATTTTTAGAAGTGATAAAAATTATAACAACGCTGATTAGTGCTTTTTTGCCAAAATAGCTTAAAATTAGTCATTTATAAGTAATTTTCTAGATTATGATATTCAAATCCATCAGAACGTGTTATTTTTCTCTGATCTAACATCACAACTCTGACACATCTGAAACAACGGGATGTGTAAAACAAGACAAAAGCGAAAGTTATTTAGGGTGACAACAATAATTTACCCCAGTGCCCATATGGCAGACGGTGTGATTGTGTTCCTGAACTCCATAGCGACCAGGAACTCTTGAGTGACCCCAGGCTGTGTGCGTGAGTTGTATTCTGTGTGTCAGACGAGAGAATCAAAAATAAACATTTTTTATAGTCTTTATTTAGCTATTTTTTTCGTTTATTTTTTGTTCAGCATATTTTACAATTGTCACTACTATGTATGGTATACTACATGAGTGATAGACCAGAACAAGCATCTAGCCAAGGGTTGTGGTCTGGCTTTGACGAGAAGCTGGGCAACGAACAGGGGTATCTGATCCTTGGCAAAGGAGAGATAGATTTATATACTTTGGTCAGGTCAGAAGCTGATCAACGAACAGGGGTATGGTTTTTACCTGATCCTTGACATAGGAGAGATATATGGTTGGGTCAGGTCAGGAGATGGACAAGGGAAAGATATATGGTTGGGTCAGGTAAGTAGATGGACATGATGTATGGTTTGGTCTGGTCAGGAGATGGAAAAGATGTATGGTTGGGTCAGGTCAGGAGATGGAAAAGATGTATGGTTGGGTCAGGTCAGGAGATGGACAAAGGAAAGATATATGGTTGGGTCAGGTCAGGAGATGGACAAGGGAAAGATATATGGTTGGGTCAGGTCAGGAGATGGACAAGGGAAAGATATATGGTTGGGTCAGGTCAGGAGGTGGACAAGGGAAAGATATATGGTTTGGTCTGGTCAGGAGATGGACAAGGGAAAGATATATGGTTGGGTCAGGTCAGGAGATGGAAAAGGGAAAGATATATGGTTTGGTCTGGTCAGGAGATGGACAAGGGAAAGATATATGGTTTGGTCTGGTCAGGAGATGGAAAAGATGTATGGTTGGGTCAGGTCAGGAGATGGACAAGGGAAAGATATATGGTTGGGTCAGGTCAGGAGATGGACAAGGGAAAGATATATGGTTGGGTCCTGTCTGAAGGTGGAATAGGGGTATTCATGGCGAGCAATTGGGTAAGCTTCTGCACCCAAACCTTCTAGAGGTCTAGTTTTATTTTCACTCATCTAAAAATAAACCATAACACAATTGAATTCAAGTCTGTTTTAAACGTACTTGTATAAGGTGAAATATCTGTGGGGCGGGTGTTGTTATCCCTGGTTTCATTGCCGTTTAGAAAAGCAGGGAGCCAGTCATTCATCGCTATTTTCTGAGATAAGAAAAAACATAAAATAAAACTTAGTTTTTGCTACATTTTCTTTGTCACTCTTATTAGCTTCAAGTTCTGGGGATTGATGTGACGCACCCCCAATTATGCCGTGAGAGATTTTGGTATGGCCTAAGGGGTCGGGGTGTTGCGAAGTGTATCAACGAGCTAAATGCAATCTGTCTTGAATTCTAAGCAACCTCATTAAAAAAATTCAGAGAAGATGTTCCGCATTCGGGGAAAACTTAAAATAAACTGTTTCAGAATATGAACTGGAGTGCAAGTAGGCGATATCCTAGAATTTACTGGCATTAAAAAGTAGCCTACCTGGAAAACTGCAACAACTTTTCTTTTCGTTGTTTGGAACAACTCTTCGTCGGAAAGTTCTGGAAACTTCTTGGATAAATCCTGAGCTAATTTATTGTGGTACCGAAACCAAATCACCTGCAGTGCCAGTAGGAATGGATTTTCGTGACCTTTGCCGTTGCCTAGACCTGGAAATAGCATTAGATAAACACGCTAGTGTGGGATACACTTGATGTTTTCTGGAAACAACATAGGATATAGAAGCTATATATGAGCTAGTGCAGAGGCGTAGCGAGAGGGGGGGGGCGGACCGCACCGGGTGACACCATTTAGGGGGGTGACACCAAGGCAAAAAAATAGTAATATATAGAGAAAAAATTGAGGTGGGGGGTGCAAATCGAAAGTTTGAGGGAGGGGTGTGCAAATCGAAAGTTCGAGGGGGGGGGGGTGCAAATCGAAAATTGAAAGTTTGTCCCCGGGAAGAGTCGCTGTGCCTGGGGGGGGGGGGGGGTGTGACACCATTAAGTGCCGCACCGGGTGACACCCGACCTTGCTACGCCACCGAGCTAGTGTAAGATAAGCCTACAAGGCATAATACCTCAGTAAAAATGCATAAGCTGGCCTACACTTTAACTCCTATAATCCATGGTGGTTAAGACCAAAGTATAATGTTTCAGTTAAATAAAATTATATGAAAATCTTCAACAAATCGAATTAACATACATAACTCAGGCTTACTGCTGGTTATAAAAAAATATTTTAGAAATCTTTATTTTAATAATCATGATATGCAGACTTACGAAACAATCTGTCTACAGGTTTCATGTTGTGATCACGTGGTATTGGGGCGTTAAACATGGGCAGCCTTTCTGTGTTGTGTGCTGGGAAACTGGACTTGATATCATCATCATCATCATCGTCATCTTCGCTGTCTGAGAGCAGCATGCCCTTCTTGTAGGACCTCAGGAGGGAGGTCCAGACCTTACTGGTACCGTAGATTACCCCTCCATCAAGAAACGATGAAACTAGATTAATCTGTTGGATGATATACATGTATGGAGTTAGAAAACCGTTGGTTAAGTGTAAGTACGGGACTGGTACAGATAACTACAAACTACAATATTACCTGAAGTTGTGGCACGGATGACTCATCTGTTACCTGGGACTGTAGCACTAGTGACTCATCTGTTCAGAAGCGTAGCGAGCGGGGGGGGGTGGACCGCATCGGGTGACACCATTTACGGGGGTGACACCATGGCAAAAAATAGCAAAATATATAGAGAAAAATTTGAGGGGGGTGCAAAGCGTAAGTTTGAGGGGAGGGGTGCAAATCGAAAATTGAAAGTTTGTCTCCGGGAAGGGTCGCTACGCCTCTGGAGGGTGACACCATTAAGTTCCGCATCGGGTGACACCCGGCCTCGCTATACCACTGCGCCTATTACCTGGGACTGTTGCACCAGTTACTCATCTGTTACCTGGGACTGTAGCACCCGTGACTCACCAATTACCTGGGACTGTAGCACCCGTGACTCACCTGTTACCTGGGACTGTAGCACCCGTGACTCACCTGTTACCTGGGACTGTAGCACCCGTGACTCACCTGTTACCTGGGACTGTAGCACCCGTGACTCACTTGTTACCTGGGACTTTAGCACCAGTGACTCATCTGTTACCTGGGACTGTAGCACCCGTGACTCACCAATTACCTGGGACTGTAGCACCCGTGACTCACCAATTACCTGGGACTGTAGCACCCGTGACTCACCTGTTACCTGGGACTGTAGCACCAGTGACTCTTTTATTACTGTGGCATTTTGACTCACCTATTACTTGGAACTGTAGCATCAGCGACTCACCTATTACCTGGGACTGTAGCACCAGTGACTCTTTTATTACTGTGGCATTTTGACTCACCTATTACTTGGAACTGTAGCATCAGCGACTCACCTATTACCTGGGACTGTAGCACCAGTGACTCTTTTATTACTGTGGCATTTTGACTCACCTATTACTTGGAACTGTAGCATCAGCGACTCACCTATTACCTGGGACTGTTGCACCAGTTACTCATCTGTTACCTGGGACTGTAGCACCCGTGACTCACCAATTACCTGGGACTGTAGCACCAGTGACTCTTTTATTACTGTGGCATTGATGACTCACCTATTACCTGGAACTGTAGCACCCGTAACTCACCTGTTGCCTAGGTCCTGCCGACGTGTATCCCGTGCTCTGGTCGTAGAGCGACCTCAGGAAGGTGTGCGGGCGCTCGGTGAAGTTCCTCAGAGGATGCTTATCTGGGAGGGGCATGTTCTCGTACTCTGGTGGACAGCCGGACATGTAGAACTGGGCTATCTCATCCAGCACCAACTGCCCTGTGTTCGGATATAATTCACTATTTTACATCTCTTTTCGTAAACTCAGCGTCCAATATTTTTAAGTGTATGCAGCATTAGTTAGAAAATAGCATACCCTATAATGACTATAATATAACAACATTCGATCTTAATCCTCACTAAACGTACTTACGCCTCACTACATGACACACACATACACACACACAAACACACAGGATGTCGGGGTGCTTGGACTAAACTTACCATAAAAAGCCTGCAGAGCGTTCCTGCCGTAAGACGAGGGCTGGTAGATGGGGCCCGAGTGATGGGCTCTCAGACTCACCTCTAGAGGGTTGGGTCGGTCCTTGCCGCTCATCTCGTAGGCCCCGTCCGAGTAGGCGTTGGGGCTGACTCGTAAAAAGTTGCTCCCTGGGTGGAGAATCACACCGTTTAGAAACCCCTACTTCACGCTAATAGGAATCGATACATGTCATTTTACTATCGAGATCTCTAGAATAAAACTAGGGACACAATCTAGGGGGAGAGATATTTTACTTGTCTGACTGTATGTGAAATAGGGGGGGTGACTAAAAAATTGGGTGACTATGGAGGAACCTTATGACGTCACCTTAGCAGTGAATCTTCCAGACTTTTTCTCCGGGGCACTTGAAATTTTCTGGGGGAGGGGGGGGGGCGGACTAAAAGTTCCGGGGGGGGGGCGGACATTATTAAAAGTATATATTTTCTATATAAATTCCATTTCTATCGGGGGGGGGGGGGTGGTAGACTCTCTTGGGGGGAGGGGGGAGATAACTGGAAGAAACACTGCACCTCAGAAGTAGTGGCGGGATTGAATTTTGTGATGACGTGTTGTGGTAGTAGTTGGTGGGGTAGAGTGACAATAATTTAGTAAAATTGGGCCCGTCTCAACACGTAACAATTCAACTGATAATTTATATCGTTCAATTAGTCATTGTTTTAATACAATTCTGTTTCCAAAATGAACCTTGTTTCTCACGTTCCAATGTGCTAACCCGTGTTATTTTCCTGTTAAATTCAGCCACTTGATTTATAATTATGATGGCTGTAATTACCCACGCTCTCCTGACGTGGAAGTTACTGGTGCAATACGTCATACCCAAGTATTTGACATCCTCAAGTGGAGTCAACATAATCACATCCGGTTTGGTGTTTGTATAATTTATTGTTTATGTTTTTTTAGAAAATCTGTTTATAAAGCTGTTAAGTGATGAATTAGTTAGTATTGAAATAAGTATAAGAAGGTAGTAAATAGATATCAGAATCACTGGTCAAAGGTCGCACATTAGAACAATTAAAAGACGATCAAACAATGTGTCAGGGCGAGGGATTAGTGTTAACATAAAACGGTTGTCGGGTCGAATCGATGTAATGAGGTTGTTGGTAGAGTGCATGTAAGGGAGGTTGTTGGTAGAGTGCATGTAAGGAGGTTGTTGGTAGAGTGCATGTAAGGGAGGTTGTTGGTAAAGTGCATGTAAGGTAGGTTGTTGGTAGAGTGCATGTAAGAGAGATTGTTGGTAGAGTGCATGTAATAAGGGAGGTTGTTGGTAGAGTGCATGTAATAAGGGAGGTTGTTGGTAGAGTGCATGTAAGGAGGTTGTTGGTAGAGTGCATGTAAGGGAGGTCGTTGGTAGAGTGCATGTAAGGAAGGTTGTTGGTAGAGTGCATGTAAGGGAGGTTGTTGATAGAGTGCATGTAAGGGAGGTTGTTGGTAGAGTGCATGTAAGGGAGGTCGTTGGTAGATAGCATGTAAGAGAGGTTGTTGGTAGAGTGCATGTAAGGGAGGTTGTTGGTAGATTGCATGTAAGGAGGTTGTTGGTAGAGTGCATGTAAGAGAGGTTGTTGGTAGAGTGTATATAAGGGAGGTTGTTGGTAGAGTGCATGTAAGGGAGGTCGTTGGTAGAGTGCATGTAATAAGGGAGGTTGTTGGTAGAGTGCATGTAAGGGAGGTTGTTGGTAGAGTGCATGTAAGGGAGGTTGTTGGTAGAGTGCATGTAAGGGAGGTTGTTGGTAGAGTGCATGTAAGGAAGGTTGTTGGTAGAGTGCATGTAAGGGAGGTTGTTGGTAGAGTGCATGTAAGGGAGGTTGTTGGTAGAGTGCATGTAAGGAAGGTTGTTGGTAGAGTGCATGTAAGGAAGATTGTTGGTAGAGTGCATGTAATAAGGAAGGTCGTTGGTAGAGTGCATGTAAGGGAAGTAGCTGGTTCAGTCTGTACAAGATGTCAGAGTATGTACAATGAGAATTTTTTTACATAACTGAGAATCCCGTAATCGAGTAAGAAAAATAGACACCTTAAGCACAAAGCAATAGTGCATGCTCTAACGGACAAATATTGCAAGAGCCCTTAATTTGTAAATTAAAGCGCCGATGAGTAGGCCTATAAATACATTCTGATTTTCAATCTTAAGCATTAACCAGCACAAAGTACCTGCAATGCCCCACGCCGGCTGATTAAGGTTGTTCCTAAAGCCATCAGGGGACGGGTCGTCTAGCTTCTGGCCTGGGGTTACTGAAACTGTAAGGTCAAATAAAACACTTTAATTGTATATGAATTCACAGGGTGAAAGAGCTACATCACTCGACCACCAACATTCAAGTGAAGAAAAAAACAACTTTACTGTCTCAAAAAATCAGCGAAGAAATCAATCGTACTTGTGCTACAACAACGTTTAGAGTAGCAATAATACCCCACATTTAAAGTAGAAAAATGTCAGTGCTACCTTACTATTACAGTAGAAAGCATAAGTGTTCTACCCCACCTTTAAAGTAGCAAAATGTCAGTGCTACCTTACTATTACAGTAGAAAGCATACGTGTTCTACCCCACCTTTAAAGTAGCAAAATGTCAGTGCTACCTTACTATTACAGTAGAAAGCATACGTGTTCTACCCCACCTTTAAAGTAGCAAAATGTCAGTGCTACCTTACTATTACAGTAGAAAGCATACGTGTTCTACCCCACCTTTAAAGTAGCAAAATGTCAGTGCTACCTTACTATTACAGTAGGAAGCATACGTGTTCTACCCCACATTTAAAGTAGAAAAATGTCAGTGCTACCTAACTATTACAGTAGGAAGCATACGTGTTCTACCCCACCTTTAAAGTAGCAAAATGTCAGTGCTACCTAGCTTTTACAGCAGCAATGATACATGTGCTACCCGACATTAAAAGCAGCAAAATGTCACTGCTGCCTAACTTTTACAGGAGCAATCATACATCATGCTACCCCGCCGTTAAAGTAGCGAATGTTTCAATGACCCTTAATCAGCGTGAGCTATAGCTAAAGGAAACAAAATGCTGATCAACGTGCTGTTTAATGTCGTAACCATAGCGCCAATATTACTTATCTTTCCGTTAATGAAACAACTTTGGGAGAATCAATCGTATTTTGTCATTTCCCCAGGTATTCTAAAGAATAACAGGGAAACCAGCAAATTGTAGATGAACTTATTTCTTCCAGAAAATTACCTTACCCTAACCTTAGCCACAGCCGATTGACATAGACCTAAAGCTAAACCAAGACAGTCTTTTAAGAATAGCTTGTTATTTCTTCCTGTCGTGACTAATACAAGGAGCTTGGTCTAGGGAAATGGGGGGGGGGGACACACCTTTGCTTAAAGTAAACATTTTTCTTAGGTTTTGAAATTATTGTAATAGTTTATGTTAAAATTCTACGTATATTGGAATTGAGGCCTGAGGGAGGGGGGGGGGGGTAAGACTTGTATGACGTTGTACTGAGTGCGGAGGGTTGGGGATAATGTTGTGTGGCATTTTCTTAAATTTCGCAATATAAAAATGAAAAAAGTATCAATTTTAGTATGTTTGGTAAAGTGTGGGGGGGGGGGGGGGGCATTACATAGTTTTAAGATCCACAAAGGTTTAATCTATCTAGAAAATTTTTTAATGTCTTGACCGCATTTTAGACGCCCTAAATGCGAACACGCTGTATTAATGGTTCAATAACTTTCACAAAAACAAAACCTTCAACACGTACTTTCATATACAAGCAGTCAGCACACGATACCGCAAAGTTCCGGTTCCGTGTCACAGCCGTTTGATATGCGTCAGTTCCTAATTAAGTCAGTAAACAAAATACGCGCCACTAATCCACGGGTACTACTAAATTATATTTTGTTGAAAGTTTATAGTCGCAGCTTTCAACTGATGAAATCACGTACCGGGTTTCTCTCTGACATTTTATTCCGGGCGTAGAAGGAGGATGGGAATTTGAAACTTCCGGTGGGAGGGGAATAAGTATATATTGTCCATTTAGGCTCAGCATTTTCTTCTACTTCGTCCGGGTAAGGGTGCTTCCCCCCCCCCCCCCCCCAACGAGATGTCTGAACGAAACACTGCCCCCTCCCATCTAGATCTATATCTTAATAGAAACTAGAACAGGTTGTTAGTCACTTCACAAACATAAATCGTGTGAAGGCAGATACTTAAGAAAAAATTTACAAAGCCTACAGTAGCCATAAATACAAATAATAATACACCCTCCCTAGTGTCTCCGTTAAGTGACTTTTCCTGTTTACAGTAAATTGCATTGGCCGTCAATGTGGTAGTACTTTGACCATCTACTTTGGCACTACATTGGCCATCTAGGGAGTGTGGTAGTACAATGGTGGTATCGTGGCACTACATTGGCCATTTAGTATGCCCATAGTCCGTTAGTCTGGTAGTACTTTGGCCGTCTAGTGAAGTAAATATATTGGCCTTTTAGGGAATGTGGTAGTTTATTGGCCGTTGCCCGCCAGTGACTCAAGGGATGGGAGGTCGGACCTTTTTTTTTTTATGAGTGAAGTTTGATGAGTGAAATGCGTGGATTAAGAACTAAAGCGAGTAACAAAATGGTTATCTCGAGAGTCCGACCTTTTTCCTTACACTTAGATTATTTGAGCGAGTCTGTCTTTTTGTGTCAAAGTGACAATCGAGGGGGGGGGGGGGTGAAAATCGTCTGAAGGCCCAGTTACAAACATATTACACTCGTCACCTGCCGGACCATCCTGTGGGGGGTGGGGAGGATAAAAACACCCAATTAAACAAACTTACTAACCACAATGCAATATTTCACTTTACAGAAAATGTAATTTCCTGTTGCTTTTTGTAGCTCTTAATATACCTGTTATTTGCGCTCTAATAAAAAGGATCTACGGTACTAGGGGTATCCTTGTCTATATTTAGATATCCGGTTGCTTTGCGGATTTGTTTTCATTTGCAAGTTGAGTGGACAGTATGTGTTGGTCATTGCTATGGGCGTATAAGGATGCACTAGGTGTGACGTCAATGCCAGTTAAAAGTTAGTCTGTTGCTAAAGAGGCACGGAAGTCATGGGCACTTGAAGAACTTTTTGATGGCGTAGCCAGAGTGTGCTTGGTGGCGAGGGTATAAATAAATAAAAAACCCTGACCTTAAAAAATGACAGCTGCCTCGCGTTTTTTACAGAGATAACGCCGGTACACTCATGTTACTTCCAATGCTCTGTTTCAATTTTCTTGGTTAGGAAACCACAATATTATTTTCTTGAAATGTAAGTTTGTCATGTGGGGGTCATTTTTTTTAAAATCATGTGAACCCCTTCCTCCCATATATATATATATATATATATATATATATATATATATATATATATATATATATATATATATATATATATATATATATATATATATATATATATATATATCATGGCATGACAAGATCTTGCCCCCGTCACTGTGTGGGAATACACCTATATTTGCGTGGAGCAACACCCACTCTTCGCGTAATTGGGTTGTAGAAGTATGTTTATGGGCTGGTACACTGGCTTCCATACAGACATGGGTTCAGTTGAAACATGTAATTAAGAAATGTTCAGGGAACTGCTGCACATACAACATTCACGACAATGGTGAAATGACTTGGGGAAAACAAATGTTGTTACAAAGTATAGGACACTGAACCCTGGCGGCGGGTTCTGGTACAGTGGCTGGGTCAACGGCACAAGCCATAGCATTCGTTGACAGGGTTTTAAAGGCCAAATCAAAAACATTCTAGCAACGAAATATTAAAGTGCCAACGTAAGACATAGGGGCCTACGTGTTTGGCGGTGTAAGTGATGATTCTAGTTTTTTTGAATATTTTTTTTATACCGAACATGTAAAGCGAGTATGGTGTTTATTGGTTCACTTTTATATTTCAGTTTGTAATATTACGCAATATTTAGATATGTTTTACATGATAAAAACAGGCGATATGCTTATGCTTATACGCAGTTATCACCCTATAGAGAAGTGGGGCGTGGTGGAGTCCTTTACTAGTAGCCCCTCCCCTTTTCGCACACAAACGGGTCACTGGTTCACATTGTGCAATATAGATCAAGGTTTGAACGAGAAACTGCCGGTGTTTACTTACAGCACTAGGTTGAGAAATGTTAAAACGTCTAGCAGAAGCAAACGAAATCAAAAGCGTGACCCGATATAATTGGACTTGAACATATAGGTGGGAGGGAGGGGGGGGGGTGTACGCCTATTGAATAGCAGGTAAAGCCGTGGTATACTTATCAAGTGCAGTGCTAAACGTTTGCAACAAGGTCTAGAGTTCGAATCTTTATCATACGACATTATCCGAGGCCCGTGCCCAGAGTGATGAGAACAGACGACTTTTTATGAACTTAAAGATCATGGTGACAAATATATTCTAGCAATATTGATTAACGATTTTCTACTTACCAAAATTTACCAGAAATAACACAAAAACACAAACATCTTGACCAGTCGGTGAACCCATTGTTTCCTCCAGTTTCCACCATGTATAAACTGTAATTATGCTAACTATATAAAAAAACACAATTAAATTTAAATAGTTCGACACTCTTTAAAACATCGGTTTAAAATTAACTTTTTAATTCTAACATTTATACTCAATATTAAAAAAAATCACTTGGAATCAAATTGATTAACTACAAATAATAGCATCACAGAAAGGAGTTAAGTATGCCCAGTAACGACAACTCCAGCAGCCGGATAAAAGAAAAACAGCATTTGGTTCTCACATTCGCAATTTATACTGGTGCAAGGGGAAACAACTTACTTCCTGTTTGTCCTCTTTAACGCGATGTTCTACGTTTCAGGAAAAATATATAAATAGGTTTTCACTTTAAGAGAAATAATCGTTGTCTGACTACACACACATATACACACGCACACACGTATATATATTCATATACATATATAGAGAGAGAGACCTATATAAATAAACCTATTTAGTATTTATCTATTTCTAAATAGACTCTAAACTCGTAACTTTCCTCAAACGACCGTGTCTTACTCTCCGAACGCAATTGATGACACGTCTAACATGGAGTCTCAAGCGAGTCAGTTAAATGTGGTCGGTACAAAAGCGTATCTACTTATTTCTACACTAAACAAATAGCTAAACCAAATATCGCCCTTATAAAAGTCTGAATGGAAGAACTAGATCTAGTGAGTGTGTAATTTATCAAGTTAATGTTTGCCTAGAGTATGGCCTTCAGTATGGATGCAGGCGGTGATATTGTTCACTAGGAGACCCCAGGCAACTGATAAAAAAATGTATTCAGCCAAATTTTAATTAGCTTAACTGTGACATTAATAGCTGGCTACCTAAAGATTGTTATCTCAAGCGACATTTATATTACGCTTTCTGAAACTGTTATGTAATGTTATTTTTTTTAAATGATCTTTTAAGACTATAAGTATCCCACTTCTAAAAAAAAAATTTCACTTCCAGATTAAGATTAACATTATTATGTCAGTGTTAACTTTGTTTATTTGTTGCTGATTTATTTTATTTATTTTTCCACTAAGATTAAAATATTACTTTACTGCCAGTGTCAAGTATTAAGGCTACCTAAGGCACTTGTGGATCGCAAAACCCAAGCGTTATCAACTCTGTTCAAATATTAAAAGCGGTCGGGTCTTGTAATGTAAACTTCCTGTGCTTTGTTTAGAACTAGCCCATTTGTGTGTGTTCTATTAAACAACATAATGCAAACCTCTGCTCTAACGGCGCGACAATTACAGACCAATCTAGAATAAAGTAACGCATTAAACAACGCCATCGTATATTAACGCCAAAAAACTATTCTACTCATAAAAAGAATCATATTGATAAAATAAGCATATGCATAAAATCATGTCAACAACAAGTGGAGCTAGCCCTGAAAATTCTATACACACAAACACACACACACTTGTAGGCGTGCAAGCAGTGTTTCTTCCAGACTTTTTTCTCCGGGGGTGCACTTGAAATTTTCGGAAGGGGGGAGGGGAGGGTGGACAACAATTTCCGGGGGGGGGGGGGGGACGACGACACTGTCAAAAGTATATATTTTCTATATAAATTCCATTTCGTTCGGGGTGGGGTTGACTTTCTTCGGGGAGGCGGTGCCCCTCTCCCCCCCCCCCCCCCCCCCCGAAGAGATGCCTGGAAGAAACTCTGCGTGCAAGTTCAGTCATTTGATTTCTGATGCTAAGATATGAACACACAACCGCAGAGTTTGGTGACGTAAACACCTAGACAATGTAGTGGCAGGGGGCAAAGTATCGATATACAAAAGTATCGATATACAAAAGTATCGATATACACACATTCTGATGACGTGCATGACCAGCCAAAACGATCCCACAGAATCCGATAGCGACACTCCGACTAGCATACAGATTTTATAAACGTACGTATCGACACTCTCACAAACCCACACGCACACTCTGACACACACATTTTGACGACGTAGCCAAAAGGATGTTATCGAATTCGATGGCGACACTCTGATAAACCCACACGCACACTCTCCCATAGTTTTAAGACGTACGTGACTAGCCAAAAGGATATTGTGGTAGACGGTATTGACACTCTCACACCCTCGCACGCGAGAACACACATACGCACAGAGTTTTAGACGTACGTGACTAGCTCACGGGATGTTATGGAATATGGTTTCGACACACACACTCAAACACATACACACAGAGAGTTTGAAAGATGTTTTGAGTGAAGACCTGAAGTGGACAACGGAAAATGTTCAAGTGGTGTCAAGTGGGTCATTTAATGTTGTGGTACATGAAGGGTTCTGCTCGCCTTAAAGTACTTTCAAGAATAATGAAAATTCGAAATTATTTTTTTTTCTTTGTGGTACCGAAATTTGAGTCAATATATTTGACTAAAACCAGAGTTTCTTCCAGGCATCTCTTCGAGGGGGGGCAATTTTCTACCGCCCCCCCCCCCCCCCCCGAACGAAATGAAATTTATATAGAAAATACATACTTTTAACAGTGTCCGCCCCCCCCCCCCCCCCCCGAAGAACGAAATGGAATTTATATAATTTATATAGAAAATATATACTTTTAACAGTGTCCGCCCCCCCCCCCCGAAGAACGAAATGGAATTTATATAATTTATATAGAAAATATATACTTTTAACAGTGTCCGCCCCCCCCCCCCCGAAGGAAGTCTACCGCCCCCCCCCCCCCCCGCCCCCCCCGCGAAAATTTCAAGTGCCCCCCCCCCCCCCCCCCCCGGAGAAAAAAGTCTGAAAGAAACACTGACTAAAACATTAACACCGGCTTTTATGTGAACTTCAAAAAACGAGGGCAATTAATTTCGTCATAGTAATGTGCATTATTTAAAACTATATAATTACGTTTTATTAAAACTGCATGTTTTTGTTTGTTTTTGGTTTGTTTTTTTGTTTTTTGCACTGTTCACACACGGACCAAAGCAATTAAAATGGTCCTCTTCCCTGAGCGACAGTTTTTAGTTTATGCGTGAGGTCAGTGTCAAGGCATGATTATACTGCCTGTATTGTTTCGCTGCATGTATCACCTCCGAATAGTGAATTTTGATAAGCCCCCAGCTGAATTTTAACAACTTAATTATTGGTACCCTATCGGTAAGAATAATTTACGTGCACGTAAAACTCGTATGCTGTAGGCTTAAAAGAATAGGTATACGTGTATGAATATTGAGTACCGGTATGTGGGTGGGAGTACGCTCTATATGTGTAAAAAGTATGCGTGTATGCTTGTAAGAGCCTGTACTGCATATTACAGCTATTACTTGCTAGTAAATGTAAGCATGTAAAACCAACTTGCATGCATATGTTGCAAACGTTTGAGAATATCTTACGTATGTTTATGTCTATGAAGTTAATGCGGGTTGGAGCATGCATAGGGAAATGTGTGCTTGTGAAAAAAACCAACTGGAACTTCCTGGTGTGATTCTTTTTGGAGATAATACCGGGACGAAATGGGTTTTTTTTTTTTCAATTTTTGTGTATTAAAATGTCTACGACACTTTAGGGTGAATAGATTTCTTTCTTTTGCTGTGCCCCATTTAGCTGCGTTCATGGCAAATCACTACAGCTCTATATACATCCGTTTCGAATGAAGACCCAATGAAGCATTCACGCCAATTCAATGTTGAGTCATGCGTGAGGGGGTGGGATGAAAACTGCACAGTTTACTTAGAAAACAATACATTGTACCAACGTCAAATTCGCCAACCACTTGACAAGTTGTGGGGTTTCCTCACCTGGTGAGAAATTCTCCAGTTTTTAAAATTACCTTTATTGAATAAATGTCGGTTTAAAATTTGAATAAACTTCCCGGGTAAACTAGGTAGAAATGTAAATATTGACGTGTTGTTAGATGAACAAGATAAGATTTAATGTAGATGTTTATTGTTGAATGATTGATGGGCTAAATCAAGATGAACGGTTTGTGAGTTTGTACGGTATGTTCGATGGCAGGATATGAAAAAGAAAAAGGCATGAGCAGTCACGGAGAAGTTATTTATAGTTTTTCCTCCTTTCGCTAACAACAAAATTTAAGGATTTTGTTTTACCCCTGTTACATCCTTTTGCGACAAGGCGGTTGTCCGTCAAACAATCACATCAATATTTAAGAGGTGTGTAGCTTTTTTCACACCGGAGTTGATTTGCTTTTTTTTTCCTTTTGTAAATGTGACCATACCAAAGAGGACTAAAGTCATGTAGGCTATACAGTAGCCTATAATTAAAGGGGAACAAATATTGAGTCAAGTAGCGAATATTAAATAAATGTTTGTCGGGGTTCCCAGAAAGAACCGCAACGGAAAAAAGCGCAACGGAAAAAAGCGCAAATCAAAAAGCGCAACGGAAATAAGCGCACATGGAAAAAAGCGCAAAGAGAAAAAAGCGCACACAGAAAAAAGCGCAAAGAGAAAAAAGCGCAAACGGAAAAAAGCGCAAAGAGAAAAAAGCGCACACAGAAAAAAGCGCAAACAGAAAAAAGCGCAAACGGAAAAAAGCGCAAAGAGAAAAAAGCGCACACGGAAAAAAGCGCAAAGAGAAAAAAGCGCAAACAGAAAAAAGCGCAAAGAGAAAAAAGCGCACACAGAAAAAAGCGCAAACAGAAAAAAGCGCAAACGGAAAAAAGCGCAAAGAGAAAAAAGCGCAAACGGAAAAAAGCGCAAATAGAAAAAAGCGCACACGGAAAAAAGCGCAAACGGAAAAAAGCGCAAACGGAAAAAAGCGCAAACAGAAAAAAGCGCAAACGGAAAAAAGCGCAAACAGAAAAAAGCGCACACAGAAAAAAGCGCAAACAGAAAAAAGCGCAAACGGAAAAAAGCGCAAACAGAAAAAAGCGCACACAGAAAAAAGCGCAAACGGAAAAAAGCGCAAACAGAAACAGAAAAATGCGCAACCAGAAAAAACACAAAGAAAAATGTGCAAAAGAGAAATTTAGCACAAAGACCATATGGACTAGATGACACATTTATACATGACTGTTAGGGCTGCTGTGAGAGTGTCGTGTTTGATCACGTGATCTACTACCATTTAAAGCGTACCACTACCATCTGCATTCCCATCACCACGATACAGGCGATAATCACTTTACACAATGCCTATTATTTT